TATTAATGAATGTATTACTGTAATTACTCTGTACATTTCTGCATATTAATTCTGCATCTTACACACAAACTACACTTCGATAATAAGCTGAAAGTAATACGCGAACCGACACGGATTTTGTCCCTCTCAAGTATTTGTAATACCAAAAAAAAAACAAACAAAACACAGAACAGAAACAGAAATGCAAGCAAACAAAAGAAAACGTATGAAAAGAAACACCGAACAAATGCAATACCTAATCTAATACATAAATGCAAAACGAATCAAAACAGAATATTGTTTTAAGCGTGCAATATGCAAGATTCCAATTCAAATCATACGATATTGACAAATTTGTAAAGCGCACACCACACCACAAAAAACAAAAACAAAAAGAGAACACCAAAAGAACTTTATACGAGTAGATATCTCAAGCAAGCAAAAAAACAAAAAGAAAAATAGGTAAACAAAAATCCATTTGTATTCTCTCTGAGGCTGAAACCTGTGCGAAGTTTCCCTCTCTGGGGGGGGGAGTGGAGTCTTAAATTATTAGGAAAATGTAAAGTTTTAGTCCAAAGTGTAATTTATTTGGGTATTTGTATTTTGGTTCGATTGGGGGACTGCAACAGCGGACAGGCTCTCTAGATTTTGTGGAAACTTCGCATATGGGAAGGCTACCACCACCACAAAAGTTTACAATCAATCGATGACTCCCAAGGCCCCTAGCATACTTGGATAACAAATTCTAAATGCGATCCAATTCTAATAAAATAATGCACTAGTCTAGTCAGAAAATCATTTAAGTGAATTTTTTAAGTGCAACAGCAGCCACAAAATCGATACAAAATATTGCGTATATACCAATATCTATATATATATATATGTAGCTATGAAATTAAATATTTATATTTCTAATGTATGCAACTCTTACACGGGGAAAAAGATGAATTTCAGCAACCTGAGAACACGCAAAAATAACGATCTGTTTCGCAACACGTTACTTAAATGCATTTAAAATTAATTCAAACGATATCTACAGCAGCAAATCTATTGTTGAATCCTTCAAACAAACAAAAACATTTTCAACTATTGTATGTACTAGAAAATATTGGTATAGAAAAACACAATAACTTTTTCAATGTATTTTATATTTGAGATTATACAAAACGACGATGACGAGGACGACGACGACGTCGACGACGTCGATGATGATCAAACGATCAGAAGATGATGATGGAGCGCCGATCACAGTGCGATTTGCTATGAAAGTTATTTGTTTAGAATTGATTTTTGTATATGCTTCGCGCTCGTTTGGTAAAAGCTTTGAAAAGACTACAAATAAGAAAAAACAAGTACAGTACTAACATCAAGCCCCAACCTCAAGGCGCATTAATAATCGAGTTAAGTGCTTTCTGGCCTCAATTAATGGCCAAAATCAAAGCCCCATTGCCTACATCTTTAGTTTAGCGGCTAAGTTCAAGACAAATATATACATATACATATATACAAGAATAAAACGAGATATATATACACTATATATCTTTATATACATATATAAATGTGAATGTATTAAATAGTGTGTAGACCGATGAAAATTGTGAGCCCGACGAGGTGTCTGTATGTATGTATGTGTAACAATGTGCGTTAAAAACAAATTTAAATAATATTAAACTTTATTCCGTATTCGAACAACAAAAAACATGGAAATTCTAAAAAAAAAAAACAAACAATGACGGATGTGTTGATCTTCTAACTTCTGGAAACGGAGGGATTTGGGGGATCGAATCCCATAGGGTACATTATCTGCTTGAGATTCACAGCTTTTCGCGATTGTAATTTATCCTATAATCTTGGTTACAATCAGCACTTCCTCTATAGAGACTTCCCATGGAAAATCTACATAATTCTCAAGCAGTAGGTAGACTATCAATATTCTCATTATCTGAATTCAGAAATTCTACATGAAAATGTATTGATGAAGAAAATAAACAATGAGAAAAAACAATTCAATTCAAGGTTCTACTCTTGTGATGCATAATCCATCCGCTATTAGCTATAGGATGCCGCTTCTATTAGCTTAAGAGATGACAGCGAGAGAGATGAGTCGAATTTTTATAGCTGGTACTCGAAGAATAGGGGTACTTTCGATTTGTGTTGAAAGTGGATGTGTGTAACACCCAGAAGGGAGTGTTTCCGACCCCATAGCGTGTGCACTATATATTTCTGATCAGCATAAATAGCCGAGTCAATAACAGTCCTGTAGTATCACACCGTTACAAGGGTATTTCAATATTTCGCCCCGCCCACAAAATATAGCATCCACAACTTTAAAGATACAAGAAATCATAGAGAATGACCATATCTACCTGTTTGCCGAATCTTGATCGGATCGGATCAGTATTATAGCCAGAAGGAACAAATGATATCTCCGTGGCGACGCAACGCCTTCCACACTCATTCCTCCTTACTCATTCCCTCTCTGGCGGAAGGGAGCGACATAAAATGGATGATGTTGGTGTGAGAAATGAAATAGAAAGAGACAGATGTAAGCAAGAAATATAAGGAAAAATTAAAAACATCAAATATAGTATGTGAAAATCTCCCGTTTCAGAAAGGGCGATACCAAACGACATGAGTTATGTATATAGTATAAAATACATCGATCATGGGCTCACAAATGTACTGACTGAGTACCGGGTAGAAAGTAGAGCCGCAGCGCTTTCCACGGCTCACAACGTTCCCGTTCGTGAATCTAGAAAAATAAAACTCTGATAAGATTGGGTTTTAATTTGTTTTTTATTGTTTTGATGACATAATATTCTGTAGATTTTAAATTTGTTTAATTTTTTGTTTTGTTTTTTTTTTGTTTTTTGTTGTCGACATTGATGCATTTATAGGCTCATTTTTTAAAAATAGAATTTCTTGTCCCTTTTTATGATAAATTAAGTTGACTGGTGGTTTTATCTTTTTGTTTTGTGTGATTTTTGCTTGAATTATGTTTATTAAAAGTAAAACATTTAAATATATATGTATATGCAGTTATTAAAACACACACATTATCGATCGCATTTTACACTTAGATTTCGTGATTAGCTGAATCCGTTCTTACATCCATCGTATCGTTAAATTTTAGCATTTTAGCAGGTGTAAATGATATACAATATATAGTTATTCTTGCTTTATGTATACATAAAAAAATTACTTGCTTCGATTGCAAAACAATATATGAGAATATCGCGCGTTTGCAACGTGCCAAATTTTGTATATATGTATGTATTTTGCTTTCATTCATTATTATTTTACCTTTTAGTTTTATAGCAAATTAAAAAAAAAAACACAAAGGCCTATGCACTAAAGAAAAAAATTGTTGGGTTAGTTTTGGGAAATATATAAGGATATAGATAGATAGATAATAGATAGATAGATATAGTATATGCGTATAGAGAAGAGAACGTTGAAGGAAGAGTCTCGTCCTGGACTGTGGTCTGTGTGGGTGTCTGTTTCTGGATAATGTCTGGGGGATAGCAATAGCGTCTTTTGTCTATATATATAATATATGTATCAGGTGGGATTTCGGCGTGGCCAGCTTGAGCTCAATATATATATATGCTATATACTATATATACATATATATATGTATGTATGATTTGTATTTGGTCGGAGTAGAAAGAAGCTTTAGGTATTTCATATTCCATTGTTTTGCACACAGAGAAAGTAGAGGAGTTAGGACCGAAAAGTTGGTTAAAAGTATATATTGCAATGCGTTTCATAAGCGCACTTGATAAGAGAGGGAGAGGGGGGGAAAATGGAGGAAAAAATCTAACATAAAGTGGTTAAAATATATATATATATACTCGTATGTGTAATCATTTAAGCCTAGAAAAAGTGTTGCAAACTGAGCTTGGGCGTGGCACAAAGACAGGAATTTGATTTTACATCAAGATTTTGATAGAAAAGAATTCACAATTCACGGAAAGAGGGATCATGTTCGAAAAATATCATCATATATAATGGAAATTCCCGATTTTGTGCCACAGAAAAGCGCAATTCGTATGTTTCGGTTAACTACGGTCGCGCCGCAGACTTTTTAGATGCCTTACAGATCTCAGATATCATTATCTTATCCCCTTTTCCCCTCCAGCACTGCAACTAAAACTCGTTTATACGTGGGCCCCCAACAACCGTCAACCGCCAACCACCAACCGCCAGCCAGAGACATTTCAGGAAACCAGCCTCTGAATCAGAACCATCATCCATAAAGCCATCTCCGATCGACCACCAACTCCTACCATTTGGCGTGCGGCAGGAAGCGCAGCGGGGGAGGTCCACGCATAAACGATCTATCAATAAATATACCAAATATTTATACATTATACATGCCTTAGTGCCTACGAACGCATGTGTAGACACATGCCTTAAATATAGTATATATATATATATATATATATATATATATATATATATATATGTATTGTATATATAAATTTCTTTTAGTACACATATTAAATATTTTCTTTTAAGTTTTTTTTTTCTTTTCTTTCTTATGTTTTCCTTTTCTTTTCTTTCATTTTGTTTTTCTTCTTTTTAATAAAAAATATATATAAATATATGCTATTTTGAATTTGATTTTATCTCTCTGCTCATATGTATAGTTAATCATCTTTTTTCTTTTTTTTCATTTGTTTTGTTTTCTTTTCTTTTCCATGTTATTTGTTATTAAATCTTTTTGCTTGCTCAGTTGGTTGTCCATTAAATACGCTTACAGATTTACATATATAGAGTGTATATAAAAAGATCAATGATTATTGGGTGGACTGGGGAATAGGTTATACATGGGGCTTATGCTGATGCCTGGGCTTTAGTGTACCCCCGCTATGGGGTACCCGCGCCCGCACGCACGCAGAACAACATATCCAGCGATTAGCAATCGTTTCAAACACAATAAAAATGTAATAATTAAATCAAAACGAAAAAAAAAACAAGAATAAATAACAAATGTGTAAGTAAGTAGTGGGTATTGGTTTTCATCAAAATTATAAAACATATATATTATATATATGTATATAAAAAGAAGCCTTAAGCCTACGTATGTCGAGCGGTGGTGGTAGATAAGAGATAAGAGATGAGACTGAAGAAAGGGTCTGAGAAAAGTGACGTGTGTGGTGTGGTGTGTTGTGTTGTGTTGTGGCGTGGGCGTGGGCATGGGCATGGGCATGGGCGTGTTTGTTTGTTTGTTTGCTTGCTTATATGCCTGCTTGGTCTTGTATTAATATGTATAAACGTTTATCATATATTTATAAACATTAATTCCCACTGATGTTACGTCTTTTGCAGCAGCTCGCTTTGTGGGCTGGGCGGACTGGGCGACTGTTGTTGCAGCATGGTCGGGGCAGACAGTGTTGTTGCCTGTGTAATAACTGTCGTGGCAGAGATGGTCTGTTGTTGTTGCTGCTGCTGCTGTAGCTGATTGGGTGCCTGCTGCAGCTCCTGTGTATGCTGCTGTTGCTGCTGCAGCTGGTGCTGGTTCGTTTGATGATTGTTCAGCGGCTGATTTGAATTGCAGAGCACCGAATAGACGGAATCAACTTTGCTTAGCTTCTCGAAGAGCGGTATCAGTTCGCGTAGTTCACAGTCGGTGACGTCGTCGAACCAAGACTTTACAGGAACCTTAAACAGACAAAAACATAGCCAATTAATAGGCATCTAGAATGTGTTTCCATGTTTCAATTACTTACTGCATTATCTGGATGAAATATATAGCTGGCCGGTGAATTGTCAACAATGACAATCTTTTGCAGATCACGACCCAATCGATTCAGATCCTTAATGTAATTACCCCTGTAGTAAACGCACGATTCCCTAAACAGTCTTGCACGAAACACATTCCACCTGCAATTCAAAATTGAGTAATTTTTGTATTAATACGTCTTCCTTTCCGTTCCAGTGATGCCACTCACTTGTCTAACAGATCTGCTACGGGATCTGCATATTTGGCTAGTGATGCTGTAAACAAAACGCACTCGTACAACTCGCCCATCTTCTGCAGAAACTCATCCACATGCGGTCGCTTCAGAACGTACACCTGATGTACGGTTCCATCGATCTCCACGGGCACTATGAAGTCTGCATTCGGAATGGGCTAAACACCAAAGGACAAATCAATTAAATTTGCATATTTGCACTAATATTTGGTGGCAGGGGAGACTCACCTTAAAACTACTATGCACTAGGGTCTCATCCAAGTCGATAACCATGCACTTTCTGTGCATATCGGTGAGCCTAACCTGAGGTAGTAGGTACCTTTGTTGGTCCTGTAAAGGTGGCGGTGTAGTCGAGCCATCGATTTGTGTGCCATTCTGATTGGTTTTTGTTCGATTTCGTCGCCAACAGCAGAGCAGGGACTGGATAAATCCTCGCTTTTGTGGCTTTAAGCGTTCCACATCGTCTGTGGATAACAGAGGGAGGGGATTATTATTAGAATTATATTAGAACTACAAAATAAGATAAATTCCACAATATATTCTATTACAAATAAGATCCGATTGAATTGTTTATATGGATATTCCTTCGCATATCCATTCTTAAACTGTTTTCTATTAAACAGAAGACTTCCCGCCTCAAGTAATTACGGTTCAAGTTCATATATTTACATAGAAATACCTTATTAAACTGTTTCCGATCAAGTTCATATGCATATATAGAAATTCCTTAAGATTTTCCTAATGGCTCCATCAATTTAAATACAAATTCCACACAGCCTTTCCATAAAAACTTCTCTCCGAACTGACTCTATATTTAAGACGCCGCAGCACACAAAACGCCCACTTATTTTCCACATTTACTCGAACGTATATATTGTATACTGTATTTATATATATATATATATTTCCATTCCTTCCATTTGTATCTGTTGTTTGTTGGTTTGGCTGGATTACTATTTACGGATTTTCAGTTCATAAAGGCATAAACATTTCGGTATGTGTGTGGCTAAAAATTAGCATAGAACAAATATAGGTCTATTCCGATTTCTATATCTGATGGTTAATACTGCAGTACTACATGCAATGCAGATAGTCTGCTTTTCGTGTTTATTTGTGCGAAAATGTTTAAAAATAGAAGTCAAAGGCCGAAAGCAACAGTGGGGGGAAGGGTACGGGGGGTACGGATGGGGGTGGCGTTGGTTGCGGGGCGTGTGCCTCGCATACAACATGCGTTTAATCGATGGGAAATTGCTATAATTGCATGCAAAAGCACACACACAAGGAGCTGGCTAGAGAGGTACGGGGAGATAGTTGGTTGTAGATAGAGAGATAGATTGGATAGAAGGTCACAGGTTGACCTTTAAGCAGACGCCACCTTTCGCGAGGGGCTGGCAGGTCGGCCACAGTCCGTCCGCCATTTGCATTGTGTGCCAACAAAAGGAAACAGCAGTCAAACATCACTTAGCAGAGAAAACAAGCTTCAAGTGCAGCGATATACCGTATGGGCGAGGTAGAGAGGGAGTGGGAGAGAGAGAAATAGAGGGTGCTTTGTTGGGCAAGGAGCTTCTGGGCGTAATGGAATGCAGTAGCACAAGAGGGACAAGAGATGCTTGCCTGCCCGCCTCACAGCTCTTCTTCAGCTCTAAGCCAAACGTAACGGTTCATTGAACCGTTAGCCAAGTGAAAACTAAGCTTAGGATGTGACGACGAGCTTTTTTTTTATTTTGTGTTCTTGTTTCTCTTTTCTTTTCTTCTTAATGTTTTTCTATGTTTTTCTCCACCCCGTCCTTACCCGCCAAACACCGACTGAAGTGCAAATGCACTTGAATATTTTATGAGCGTGCTGTTGCTGTAGCTGTTGCTGCTGCTGCTTTGGCAGCATAATGAAAGCTTTTCTTTTCCCAGCGTCTGGCATCCATGTAATTACCCTCTCAACCCTTTGCTTTTACGGGGGAGGAAGACGGCGAATGAGACGGCGGGAGAGAATGAACCCCCCACGAAAAGAAACCCTCAACTTGTTGAAACTCTTCTGTGGTACGAGTATAGGTATACATAGGTTTATGGGTATATCCTTGCTAATTTTATTGACAGCCACCCCGCCCCCATCTATATTTGGGTCGCTCTGATGGATGCGGGCAGGCAACACCTTCGTCAGGCCCACACCACCTCCGCCAACAAGCACCTATCGAATCAACCCGACAACGGGCGACCAACCCACATCACATCCATCCACATCATACACTCAAATAGGCTTTTGGCCTATTTTTAAGGTGTTTCAAGTAAACTGTGTTGTTGAAGAACGCTTCGGCTGACTGTACGGCGTGGGCTGTTCTTCTTATGTGTGTGTATGTGTGTGTGTGTCTGTGTGCTCTCCCCCATCGCATTCCTTTTGTTCTTTTTCCGCAGACGACATATTTAGATGACCATATTTATAGATCATTATTGGAGCAACAATCTGTCATGTCTCTGCGAGGTTCTTGTTTAATAGACAGCCAAATATGGGCACAAATATGCGGAGCAGGCCAAGCGAATTAAATGTACGAAATAGGGTCATAAATTTCCGAGGAGAGGACATTCGCAGTTTAGTTCATTCAGCATAGAAGAATCTACTAGAAATAACTACTAAAGGACTATGCAGTTCCATTCCATGCTAGCCATTTTTTGGGGGGCATTCCCATAACCAATTCCAATAGCAATTTCCCTTCAAAGCGACAACAAACACAATTTTTGTAAAGCAATACGAGAGATTAAATCACAGATTTATGCAAAATGAGAAGAGGACCGCTGCATTAATTTATGCAAATGTAAATCCTTCTCCGCCAGACTGTTAAACGGCCTTACGCGTCAATGGAATTGAGAATCCCCACAGGACAACAGACAAATCTGTATATTTGTATGTGTATTACATAAATACATGTATATCCACTGATGTGGAACGCGGCATTGAAAAATATTCGAAAGATTTTCTTTTGTTATAATTTATATGTATATGTATTTGTTTTTTGACAAGTTTCTTCTGTTTCTGCTGGCGGGCAAGGTCTTGTCGTGAGATAAGGAGGGGCAGAGAGTGGCAGAGTAGGGGCAGAGTCAGCGGCAACATTTGATAATTAATTTAAAGTAAAAAAAAGAAAAAAAAAAAAAAGCCATCAGCAAAAACAACAAAAAATTCATATGAAATCAAGAGCGAATACATACAGCGCTTATCTAATCAAAATGTTTGTTATCTCGAGGAGAGGGGGCCAGGCCACATTATGATATCATTCTCGGAGCCAACTCCAACGACAAACCACAAATTTTCGACCTTCAGCATATTTATGAAGCTTTTTTCTTCAAGACATCGGACAGCTCGGCATTAAAGCTGAACGAAACCAAAATGGCACGTGATATAATAGTGATATATGTATGTGTCTGAATATCTAGAGAAACACCTGCCTACAAAGGGGAAACTCCCTTAGCATTGCAGCATCCACATTTCTGGTCTTTGTCATTTTTTTTTTTGGGGGTTGGACCTTTATTTAACCCCCAGAATGTGGTTCAATGAACCCCCCCACATCATATCAGTTATAGAGATAAAATCTCCATGTACAGAACTTGTGGTTGACCTTTATCGATTTGATGAAAAGAAGAAAAGTTCTTTGAAACAATTGCTTAATTATATCGTATATGTGGGGAAATACTTAGCCCCTGAGGCCATCGAAAAATCATTTGCACGCAATCTTCATACAATCCGTATACATATGTATAATCTTTTTCATTTTGTTCAATAATTATGCCGCCTTGCAGTGCTCGGGACTCTGCATCTGTTGTGTGTCTGTTTAGTGAATCGAAAAGCATTGTAGCAGGTCGACATTGGGATACGCTTAATACAAAAGAGAGTATACATTTTCTCGGGATGAAAGTAGGTAAATGACACCCAATAACTGGAAATAACTGGGGAAGACACCGCTACATTACCATTCCATGGATTCCATTCCGTTTCAATTTTGGATACATTCCATTATGCGTTGTGCTCCCGAGCACTTTGAACCCGTGTTTCGCATTCGTTTATTTAACGTTTTGCTGTTATTTATAGATCTGCCAATTAATGAATAAAATGATAAACTTTTCGAGCATGGGCGGATGGGGAATAAAGGGCATTAGAGTGAAACAAATCAAAATTAAAAAAAAAGGGGAAAACGCTCTGTCTGTGTGCGTTCTGTGTGTTTGTGGGGAATATGGGTGTCGTTGGGGCTGCTGGTTGTGTGCGTGAGTAATTTGGCTTTAAAGACCTTGAGAAAATTGAAAAATCACAGCAATACAGCTAAAACAGCGAGAAATGAGATACTACGAGAGCGTTGCCCATAAAAACCATATAGATAGGTTTATACTTATGTATTGTATATATATATATATAAATATTTATACACGGTGAGGCAAAAGCACTTAGGCGGTGGTGGTGGCACCCACTCTGAAATTTTGTATAAAAAAAGGAAAAATATATTTCAACTGTTGCTCTGCCGGTCGTACGTTCTGCTTCTAATGCTGGGCTCTTCACACCCACACGCACGCACGCCTGGACAGGCCAACACAGCTGTGATGACGTCTCTCTCTCTCTCTGCCTCTCCGTCTCGCCGTCTATTGCTTTAAGCTCAACAAGTATGGATGAGAAAAACTGCCCCCAAAGACCCTATTTGGAACCAACAACTGCAATGGGAACTTGATTCAAACTAGAAATCAGCTTTGAACCAAAGTTATTATGTGAAAAAAGACATATTGATCGATGTTACAGGTAAAGTGAAAGAAAATATTTTTCATTTGCGCCAAATTGGCAGCCCCGCCGATTAAAAGTGGGCAAAGCAGCCAGCGAGAGAGACGTCAATTAACACCTAACCGCAATTCGTACAAACATATAGATTTCTATATACGTATGTGCATATATACTATATGAACATATATGTACATACATATATGGTTTGCACATATGCGACCGCAGATTAGATTAAATTTGTTATTACTTTAAGACGTTCATCGCGGTTTTTGCACTCGGGCCCCACCCCGCCGCCACTGCACTCAGATTTTCATAGTCGCGTAAAGCTCTCTCCCTCCCTATATTTACAGCAAGAGTGTGGTGGAGCCTCTCTTTCTATCTGTCTCTCACACCATTCATTCATTCATTCATTCATTCTCGCAACCGTTAAGCTACACTTTTTTTGTTCGTCTCACGCTTTTGTTTGTTTGTTTGTTTGCATCACTAGAAAAATAAGAAATAAAACTAGTTGTGGGACTCCTCTCCATACCGGTTTTCCTCTTTTATAAGCATTTCTCAGTGTTTTTTCCGTTTTTTTCCCCCTGCTGCTGTGCAATTTAATTGGCGGTTTCTATTGTTGGACTTGGGTCGCGCGCTTCTCCGAAAGTAAACATGCGAAGGGGAAAGAAAAAGAAAAGGTTTTCGTGCACTCTACAAAGGCCATGACGTCACACGCATGGCAAAGACGTCATCAATTGATTACAGGTGGAAGGTGGGGGATTGTGGGTGACGGGCTGGTAGGAAGGCGGGGGGGTTAAGCGAGAGGTAGAGTTGCAACTGCGTCGCAAATAATTCGATAACTACAAACGAAGCTAGCAAGTGGTTAGATCATTCACAGTAGACAAGAGAAGAGCGAATGGGGAGAGAGACATATAGAGAGAGAGAAAAAAAAGTGAATACCAAAAAGGGGCCGACATACATATATACATGTGTACATATACATATGTACATATATGAAAGGTCACTGGGGTGCGGGGACAAGTGTCCTTTGGGGCCGATTTCATCGTCTTTGTTGTGACGCCTTTCGATTATTGATGACTCACGGAGACGTCGACGACGACTACAATGCGTTCGCTCTTATTTTTGTATTATTTTTTTGTGATTTTCTTTTTGCTCACCTTTATCATTCGGATAGCTGGGATAAACATTCAGTTGCTCATCATCGCGGGACACTTGTGTGATTATTGATGTTGCATCCATTTAAGCACACAATTTTGGATGTTGCCTGGCTGGCTGGCAAAAGGTTGCAACTCTCTCTCAATTCGGTCTCCTTGGCAGGTTGAACTCTTGGGAAACGCTGCAACGATGTGGGTTGGCAATCATTAAAAAATCACTCGAATATAATTACGTTTTCTCTTTCGCACTCGTTAATTTTCTTGAGAAACTTCCATGTTTTCTTTATATAGAAACACTTGCACGCACACAACCACACCACATACATTAATTTATATACATCGCACAGACACACACTGGCACGCACACAACAGCAGGCTGTGCGGCTGCCCCAGACAGTGGAATTTTACAATTACGCTTTGGCAGTCCATTCGCTTAGCGTTTTGCGGCTCAGAATGCAAATGGCTTTGATGGTTTTTCCCCTTTGATATTCACCTCTCGCTGCGGACAGATTGCACTTTAAAAAATTGATATTCCTTTTCGTATCGTATGCTAAAAAACACTTTCTTTTCCGCTGCTCATTCTTTTTTATTTTTCTTCGCGTCTGCTTTTCGCACGCAGCTTCTGAGCGTTTTATTTATAAACACATACACGAACACTCACACTAAACTCCACACAATAACACACACGCAGGCCCAACTCCTCGACTGCTGTTATTTGATTCTAGTTCCTTAATTTTTCGCCTTCGTATTGCTCGTTTTCATTTTATTTATTCAATCTAATTTTTTAATTAATAAAAACAAAACGTGCACGGACGAAAAAAATCAAGATTGAAGCGACGGGCGACACGGCGTGGACACTGGTGTGTCGCGGTCGAGTTTTGTATTAAAAAAGTAACAAAAACGAACTTAACCCACTGAACCCCCCCATATTTAAACAGGTGAACTACTTGAGCTAAATGGTGGAAAATAATACTGTATGTAAATTCCTTTCTGTGGAACCACCCTTTATATTTACTGAACCATGATAGCTCTCACCTGATCTGCGCTAAAATTCTTCATGTGTTATTATTTTCGTGTAGTGTACAATGGTCGTGGTCTAGAATGGGTTAATCGTTTTCTGTCCATGATAGGAATGCATATTCCTCGATTTTGATATTCGGCCTAATGTTACAAGCTAGCTAGGATTCTCAGCTCTGAATTTATAATTTTATCCGATTGATGTCTAAGTTTTCTACAGGACTGGCTGGTTTTAAGGACTCCCCTGTATGGGATTGTATCTAAAATAAGGTTTAAACAAAACTTCATCCCACCACGAAAAAGAGAGAAGATGTGCCAGTGTAATGAAACGTACGAGCAGCTAAAATCATCGTTGCGCTGATAGTCATACCGATATATCCCGGTCCGGCAGCCCTTGGCTATTGTTGTTACGCGAGCGACTTTTTGCTTTAATTTCTAGCTAAGTTATCAAAGAAATTGGCTTAAATGTTGGCTATACGCAGCTCACAGAGATTGAGCTTACGGTAAGCTTTAATTTGGATCTAATCATCTTCTGCGAATTATAAACTTTTCTGTTCTCCCTCTAGGTCTTTGCTGCCGGCTGTCTACAAAAACGTGGGATTGGTCAACTGCTACTCCTCCTCGCAGTCCAAAGACGACGACGGCGGCTACTCCTCCTCTGACGATGAAAAGCCCAGGAAAAAGGTACCCAAAAAGCCAGAGGAGACAGCCGCCCAACGCTTGAATCGCCTGCTTGGCAGCATGCAGGCCACAGACCAAATGTCGGCTGCAGATTTTCCCCGTCCTGGCGATGCCAATCGTCGCCGCAAGGAGGCCTTGAAGCAGGACGCTGCATCAAAAAATGTCCTAACGGCAGCCAAGAACATTGCCAGCATGCTGGGCACCAGCGAGAGTGACAAAAAGCAGACAGAATCCGAGCTACTGGCCAAACTGCTGGGCCATGGTCCAGAAGCTCCGCCATCGGCGTCGGGCGAAGCACAGACGGCAGATCCGGCAGCCGGCGGAGGAGGTGCCCCAGAGAAGGAGCTTAATCTGAGGTGATTGGAATGCACCCGCATTGAGATTATTTCCTACTCACTCTTTCTCTATCTCTCTCTCTCTCTCCTTCCAGCCAACTTATTGTGGGCATGAAAATCGATCGTCGCCAGCAGCCGCAGCAGACGGAGCAGACGCGTGGGGAGTACGTGCGACGCACCTTGGCCTCGCGCCCGAAGCATTCGGATCGATATCAACAGCGCCCGCAGAGGCACACAAAGCGCGAAGCCGAATCCTTCACGGGCAGCGTCAATCTGTTTGGCGGCGAGCCTCTGGGCATCTTCAAGGAACCCCTGCCGATCTCAGACGACATTCTCTCCACCTGGTCGCAGCTGAGCGAGCGCGAGCTCAGTCTTCATGCCGCCCATCCGCCGGCAAACTACTTCGAGCAGATGGTCCTGTGGACGGAGCAGGGCAAGGTCTGGCGCTTCCCCATTGACAACGAGCAGGATTGGGGGGATGAAGTGAATGTGGACTTCTCGGAGCACATCTTTCTCGACCAGCATCTGGAGGGGTGGTGTCCCAGCCGGGGACCCATTCGGCATTTCATGGAGCTCGTCTGCGTGGGTCTCTCCAAGAATCCCTACGTGACGGCCCAGGAAAAGAAGGATCACATTCTGTGGTTCCGCGACTACTTCGAGGCCAAGAAGGACATCCTCAAGGACCTGATGGACAAGGAGCCCAGCAGCAAGAGCAAGAGTATTTCCGCTTAAACAAGGCATGGCTTGAGGCCGGCGTATTGGTGGAATATTTGTTAAAAATATATATTTTCTTCTTTATAAGACGATCGATATCGATATATAGAAGAGATATTTGTGTAGATATATATATATAGTTGTATATATATGTGTGAGTGTGTGTGGAAGGGGTATATAATCCTAATACTTATTAATCCTGTGCCATTGAAGACCTGTGCGCGGAATATAGTACGAGAGAAACCGGAAAGGGGCTTCGGCTTCAGAAGAGCAGGATACGTTTCTCCACCGTCTTGCGGCAGATGGGGCAGCCCTCGATTTGGTCACCGCACATCTGGCAGGTGCCATGGCCACACAGGAAGACCATATTCTTGATCCGATCAAAGCAAACGGGGCACATGGTCTGAAAAACATCAAACGAAACAATAGGATTAGTAATCTCACTCGTAGATGTGCTTTGCCGGACTCTCACCTGCTCCTTGATGTCCTGCAGCTGCTGCTTGAGCTTCTGCACATCGTCCATTTGGAAATTGTTGACATTGGATGGGGCCACCATGCCACTGGCAGCCGCGAGATTTGAGGAAGCAGCCGCAGCAGCGACCAGCAGATTGTTTTGGCTATTCAACTGATTGCTGCTGCCTGCCACAGGCGTCACCACCGTGTTGTTCATGGCTACGCTGTGGCCAGAGGTGTTCACGCATGGTATGGCCGATGCCTCCATGAACTTCTCCCCAACTTCCGGCAGTTGGCAGATGAGCTGAGAGACTGCGGCGTTAGATGTGACCTTCTCTGGCCGCCCAATGCCGCCACAGCAGAGGCTGAAGGAGAGCATCTCGTCCACTTGGGTGCGACAGAGGACGCACTTCTTCATGAGAACACTGCAGTGTTCGCAGGCCACCATGTGGCCGCAGGGGCGGAAGAAGACGGCCGCCCGTCGGTCGGAGCAGACCATGCATTCGTCAATCTTCTCGCGTGAGGAGACCGTCTCGCGGCAGATGAGGCACTTCTTCACGCGGGGGGCACACGTGTCGCAGCAGCTGACGTGGCCGCAGGGCTTGAAGACCGTATCCCGCTTGGCGTCTGAGCAGACCATGCACTCCTCCAGACTGGTTCCCCCGGTCTTCGAGGGTTCCACGTGGAGGGACTGGCTCATGTCCGAGTTGAGGCCATTCAGGCCGAACGATGAAGACGACGCGGAGGCGGATGCCGCTGGAGCTGGCGGCAGGCTGGCCGAAGACGATTGATGCATGATAGCCACGGGGCCTCCACCACCGCCGCTGGCACCACCACCAGCTGCTGCCCTGGCTCTGGCATTCAGGCTGGTGCCGGCCACATTTCCGGGCAACTCCGAGTCATCGGTCTTGCGCTCGTTGTAGCACTTGACGAGGGTCTTGCAGAGATTCGGATCTGGGCAAAGATCTAATGGCGTTTGCTGTTTGCGATTCTTGAGGGTCAGATCTGCTCCATTTGCGGCCAGAAAGCAGGCAATCGAGGCCGACGCCTTCTTGTTGTTGGCATTGCGCAGGCCCATTAGAAGCTTGCCGAATCCCTCCACATCCTGGAGCTGCTTCAGCTGCGAGAGCGTGTGATGGCGCAGTGCCTCGTGCAGGGGCGTGTCCCCATCCTTATCGGGTATGTTCAGATCGGCGCCATCTTGCACGAGCAGCTTGACAATCTGCACATGCTGCCGCTCCACGGCCAGATGGAGGGCCGTCTGAAGGTTTACATTCTGCCTGTCCATGTTGGCCTTGCCCATGTGCACAAGCAGCTCGGCGATCTCCACGTGATTGTTAAGGGCGGCCAGATGCAGGGCCGTATAGCCATCGTCCTTCTTCTCCTCCACAATCCAGGGGCGATTCGTTTTGGTTAGCAGTATCTTCATGGCGCTGGGATTACCCTTTAGAGCGGCATGGTGGAGTGCATTGAAGCCATTGTTGTTGTTGAGCGTGATGTCCGCCCCAAAGTCCAGCAGCAGCGATAGCATCTCATCGTGCTCCTTTGAGATGGCATCATGCAGCGGCGTATCGCCCTCGGAATCCTGCAGACTCGGATGACACCCAAGTGTAAGGAGCGTCTTCACCACATTCAAGTGCCCCTTGTTGACGGCTATGTGGAGGGAGGTCTGCCGCCGCTTGTTGCGCGCATTCAGATCGGCTCCAGCCTTCGCCAGAATTTCAATAACAGCCGCCTCATCACCAAAGGCCGCATGATGGACGGCCCGGTCGCCGTCCTTGTCCTCGATTTCCACATCGACGGCGTGACGAAGGAGCACTTGTATGACCTCGGTATGACCATTCTGGCTGGCTGCCTGGAGGGCCGTGTGACCGGCAAACACCCCGTTCACATTCACATCTGGTCCAGCGGCGCTGGGCGAGGCGCTCGATGTGGAGGGCTGTTGTCCAGCAGCAGCTCCAGCCAAGTACTCCTCGCAGCGGGCCTGAAGGATCGGCAAGGATTAGCTTCGGATTGCCTGGGGGTAACAAAAAATGCGCTCTAGCTCTAGCTGTACTCACCGCAAATCCATTGGCAGCCGCCTTGACAAACTCCTCGGTGGCATCGCCCGAGATATTCGGTTCGAATAGCTTCTTAAGAATGGCCGAAAGCCGCTCGCCACTGGGTATGACCGGGGCACAGTTGCCGTCGGCCGTGGAGGAGGCCACCTTGCAGACGGCCAGCGGGTTGTACGTCCAGGATGTGTTGCCCACCTCCACCTTGAGGTCATTGTCGTGGTACACCTGCTGGACGCGTCCAATCTTGCCGAGGGTCAGCTGCATGGCATCGGCCCATTCGCCGTGGCCGCGTTGAAGTATCTTGATACTCTCCACATCCGAGCAGATCTTGACAATGTCACCCACCTGGAACTCTGGTGGGGCGGTGGTCGGCGACGAGACCTTGGTGAGGACAGCCGGATTGAAGGTCCACCGATTGCCAGAGTTGTATGCCACCACAATGTCGTGATCCTCGTCGATGCCGACGACCATGCCGGCATTGCTCAGGCACTCGAACATGCCGTCTGTCCAGCCGCCGTGGCCGTGCTGCAGGGACTGGACAATTTCCAGGTCCAAGTCCACAGTGACTTTATCCCCAATCTGGAAGCCGTGGGGTCCTTTGCCGGGCCCATTCTCCCCCAGCAGCGGCAGGTGATCCCGATAGACATTGCTGCCTTTGGCATCGTTGACGACCTTCAGGTCGGCCATGCCCTCGAAGCCAACGCGATAGAGATTCTTGGAGCCATTGTCCCAGATGACGTAGGCTGCCGATCGGGGCGATGCCGAGGACCAATCCTGGATCTCATTCACCTTTCCGCGGCGTCCCACGCCACCGTCCTGGTCCTCCCACTGCCAGTCGACGCCACGCACCACACGGGCGCCCGGAAAGATGCCCCTGGCCAGCACCTTCTTCGATTTGCGACGCGGCTCCAGCATTGTGCGCTCCCCGCCCGGTGTCGTAATCCTATAGAAGCGATGCCTCAGATGATGCTTGTCGCCGTGATAGCAAATCGAGCACAAGTCGTAATTGATGCACTCGGCGCACTTCCAGCGTATGCCGAAGATGGGCTGCTGGCGACAGGTGTCGCACATGGTGCCCTCATGCTTCACGCCGGTCGGAGCACTGTCCAGGATACGCAGATCGTAGGCCCCAGCGCAGCGGTAGTTGGCAGCGGTGCCATTGTCCCAGACAACGACCACCTCCTCGGCGGACTCAAAGTTGCGGACAGTGCCAACGTGACCTTCGCCGCCGTCCTAGAATCGGGGTAGATACCAAAAAAGGGAAAAAGAGAATGAGTCACACAGTCTTTCGATTCGATTTGATTCGATCTCTAATTGCAACCGAAACCCACGGCTATTACGATGCGAAAATTGCAGTTGAAGTGCATTATCGCAACTAACAGTTAGGGTAGGCAGCCGCTTGTCGCTAGTCGCCCTGCCTCCAGGCCTCTAGGCTATCGGTGGGGGCTATCTCCCGGGGAATTGGCAGGTTGAAAATTATCTCGTCATCGCACAGTGGTTGAGGCTGTGCGAAAACAGAGCGAGCATCGATCGCAGCGGATCGTGCAATTAATTCAATTGAACACAATTGAGAGTGTTTGCTGGGCGACCTGACCCTGACCCCGACCCCTCCCCTCACCTGTTTGTTCCACTTCCAGTCCGGACCGCGAATGACCCGTGCCCCGACGCCCTCCATGGAGAAGCGTCTGGCGACGGCAGCCGCTGAGCTGGCACCGGCGCTTGCACCACCGCCAGCTGCTGCTGTGGACGCCGTCGTGCCACCTGCAACCGCTGCAACGTTACCAGCACCACCACTGCTCACTACCACACCCACAGCTGCTGTCGATGAGGTGCCCGACGTTGGTGCTCCGCTGGCATTTGCAGCATTTGTTGTGTCTTTAGCCGCAGACAAAGTTGCGGCGCAAGACATTTTCCAACGCCAATCTGCTATTTAGTAACCACTTGGTCTTTTCTTACAATTTGTTCGCTCTATTACTAAAGCAATCGCGATTTTTTATCGCTTTTTGGGGATCCCAAATGAAAAAGTAAGGTTGGGATCAGTGTGACCACATATTTATCGATCAAAAATATACCGAAACTACGTCACAAATGTTAAAATATACCGTGAATATACTGGCGAATTATTTGTACTCAAGTTGCATCATATTCCTCGATTTTGATATTCGGTTGAATATTACTAGCGAGCTAAGACCCTCAGCTTTGAACTCATAATTTAAACCGATTACTTAATTAATTTCCTACAAGACTGTTTAAATTTAAGCTTTCATTTTAATTGTATTGTTTATAAAAGAAGGTTTAAGAAAAAACGGTCAACAACAATTTCCATTACATTTATTTCTTTACATGGTAACTACACAATAACTACACGCTTGCAAACATGTTAACTACATTTTAATGTAATTCCTAAAAGCGACACCTGGAGTGGTGCGTTTGTGTACGTTTCATAAATGTTTGCCCGTTTGTTTTTAATATAAGCCCCATGGAAGCGCCAGTGTGAAAAGCCTCCGTTATCAACTTTTTAACATTATTTTTTCCGAGATGGTGATCGCGAATTAGTATTCGATGTGGTCTGGGACATGGTTCTAAATGGCATTTCTGCACGGTTTCTACATTGGTGCATTCGACAAGAGGGTGAGCCTATAACGCGACCTAAAATATACTGGATAATACTATGAAAAAATTGCAAGGTGTGTGAGCTAGACATGGTGGCAAGAAAATCAGTGTGACCTGCACTTAGCGAAAAAATATACGGTCTGACAAAAACGAAATTAAGCCACTGAACCCCCCTCTATTTAAACAATTTAACGATTTGAGGTAAATGGTACTGATTTTACATCTTTTTGGTAGATCCATGCCATCTTTCCTCTGAACTTAAAAAAACAGCGATATCTTTCACCTGAATTGCGCTAAAATTCGTGAAGTTTCATAAAATTCGTGCGTATATTTAAATAACTGGTCAACAATGGGTTAATCATTCTCTCTCCATGATCAGAAATCATATTCCTCGATTTTGATCTTCGATTTTATATTGCTAGCTAGCTAGGACTTCCGTACCTTTCTCTTATCCGATTGATTGATAAATTTTCTACGTGACTGGCTAATTTGAAGCACTCTTTTTTCTTGGATAGTGTCTAAAATAAAGTTTAAGCAAAGAAGTTCAAAACAGAAAGGTCATTGGTGAACGGCTAACGTTATTATTGACTAGATAGTAGAGCTGTGCGCCTAAGTTTGAAAGGAAATGAGTGACAAGGACATAAATGCAATGCAGTTGAATAAATGATGGGGGGAGCACGATTTGAGTTTCTATGTTCTTTAATATACCTTTAACAATTATGAAATAGATAGCTAAAGATAACAAGCAATAAATTAAAAAATAACAATATATATTAAATTTTTTGTTTTCAAACCATGTTTTTGTTTCTAATACCTTTAAGGTTTATTAAGTTTTGAGATACTGTTCAGGATGATCTAGAAATTCTTCTAAGAAAGCCACTCCCACTGGCAGATACTGAATATTTTCGTTGAAGAAATGTATTCTTGGGTGCAGAATATCTCTGAACGAAATTCCTTCAACATTGGCAACTTCAATTACGAAATCGGTCTTCTCAATTGCCGTACGTGTATCCACCTCAATACGCCTGCGCACAGTCTTTTTTATAACCATTTGATTCCCCTGCCTAATAAGAAGAAGAGCATGTAATTTTAGACACACGGGGGGAAGGAAATCATGGACTGTCCATGTATATTTTATTTACCTCAGAAGACTCGCCTTTGTGGTTGTAAGAACCTTCAACAATTTGTGGAATGTGCGTAGTACGTCCACACAAATTGTATCTGTGCGTTGCAGAAATTGTGCGAATGCCTCCACGCTGCTCCCCTCAATGGAGTCGGTGTGACTCACTGGCATCTTGAGCTGCAGCTGAAAGTCAAGCAGATGCTCAAACGCTGTCCAACTCTGCAGTGGGAAAATGAGTGTGGCCTGCTCCACGTTGAGGGCGCATACCCTTATAGCAGTCTCCAAGTCGTCCACTGTCTCATAGTCAACAATCAGGCGAAATGTGGTAAGCAGTCGATGGGTGAAGATCAATTTGCGCGATATCTTTAGCTGATAGTCAAATATCCAGTTGGGTTGCTGCTCGGTCAACAGGCCAGCCAAGCGATCAAAGAACGTTTCCACTGGTTCAAATCGAACGAGAGCCTGCTGTAAAATGTCCGGCTTATCGGCCAGGTTGCGCTTGAATCTAGGGTGCGGAGCGGGTTAAAATGGATGCCTGTAAAAAGTATTTCAATGGATCTCACCTTTCCATCTTCCTGTTGTATCCCGCCATCACCTCGTTCACGTCCCACTCGCTGAACTCCTCATCGGACGCATCGCTGGAGCTGTCCAGCTCTTTCTCCAGGGCGATCGTCTGCCTCTCCTGCTCTTTCATTTCCCAATACTTGTGCACATCATCCAGGTTGGGCCTCGCTCTTACGCGTCGCAGCATTTCTATTTCCCGCGTCAGATCCCACTGGGGCTGGGAGGGCAGGACAAAGGAGTCGTTGCTAAGCCTTGTCTCATTCAGGGATCTCCTGCAGTTCATGCACTTCCTACAGGATGCGCTGGACCCAGCAGCCACCACTCGAGAGCTCGCTTGCTGCTCCTGGCAGGACTCAGGCTCCGGCTCTGGCTGAGGCTGTTTGGCCAGTGCCGCTGCGCCTTCAACTGGTGCTTCCTCATCTGTGTCCGGTTCATCAGCCAGAGTGGAGACCAAACTGAGCCGAACTTTATCTATATGACTAGTCTCCATTTCATCGACATTGATGGTACCCATTAGGGCAGTCGAAGAGTTCGTGTCACCGGATAGATTGATGAATCTCTTGTTTGTGGGTTCGTAGCTCTTGAACGAACGATCTGTGGAGCTTCCACTATACCTGGGGCAAGTGTCGCGCTTCTCCTCGTCCTCCTTCTCTGTCTTACTCTCAGCCGGCTTCTTCTTCACCTTGCACGGCTGAGCTTGGAAGTAGGCGGACACATCCGAAATAGTGATGGGTCTCTGCTCCAATACGGGGCGTTGCGGCCGCAAGATAAGGTCACAGTTCTTGTCCACCGCTGTCGTCACTTCTTTAATGGAAACACTCATGTCCATCTCCATCTCCTGCTCCGTTTTACTGTCCGCAAGGAGATGGGTATTACGCTTCTTGGCCTCTGGCAGATTAGGCGTGAGGTGGTCCGATAATCGCTTGGCATTTCCACTGTGCCGTATAGGAGTGCCACATCCTGAGGTATCTTCCTCGAAACTCATTTTCATGGACTCACCCATGGAGCGTATTTTCCGCAGCAATACCGACGCCTTCTGAAGCGGACCGCGAGGCGTAGCCGCCTGCTTGCTCTCCTCCTCGAACAGTTCAAATTCATCCATGGAACAAACTGACCCTGATCCGTTTAGTCTCAGCATGGGTGTGATTGGAAGGAGCTCCGGATGAGTTCTTATTGATTGGATGGGACTGTGAAAGTCCACTTCCTCCTCCTGCTCTTCCATAGATTCCGACATGATCAACGTCTGTTGAGCTCGGGAGCCACGACTTGGAGCCACTTTTGTAGACTCCTCGAGAGGTGGTTCTGTCGGGGGCTCCTCCCCCTCTACATCCATGGGAGCGGCCAAGGGCAGAGTTTGGCGGGCTTTAGACGTCCGAAGTGCTGCCTTACTTTCTTCAATGAGTTCCGACAGTGGAAGAGTATTGATGGGCTCAAAGGCCACAGATTTTTCCCTGACTTCCTGAGATATTTTCGGTTCTAAACTATGGTATGCAGTGGAATGATTCTCCTCGATGGCTTCTGCCATAAGCAGGGTTTGCCTAGATTTCGACGAACGATATCTACTGTCCGACACATGATGCGCCTGAACGGGTTCAGCCAAGTGCTTATAATCTTTCTTTTCGGGAAAGTGCTCATAATCTTTTCTTGGGGTGACATCCTCCTCTATTGGCTCCGCCTGCAGAATAGTCTGCCGACCTTTGTATCTATGATTTCCCGTTGGTAGATGCTCCTTAATTGCTTCGGGCAGGTGCTCATAATCTTTCCTTGTGACATCTTCCTCTACTGGCTCCGCCTGAAGAATAGTCTGCCTAGCTTTGTATCTATGATTTGCCATTGGTAGATGCTTCTGAACCGCTTCGGGCAGGTGCTCATAATCTTTCCTTGTGGCCCCAGGGCCAGTGACATCCTCCTCTATTGGCTCCGCCTGAAGAATAGTCTGCCGAGCTTTGTATCTATGATTTGCCATTGGTAGATGCTTCTGAACCGCTTCGGGCAGGTGCTCATAATCTTTCCTTGTGGCTCCAGGGGCAGTGACATCCTCCTCTATTGGCTCCGCCTGAAGAATAGTCTGCCTAGCTTTGTATCTCGCTTCGGGCAGGTGCTCATAATCTTTCCTTGTGGCTCCAGGGGCAGTGACATCCTCCTCTATTGGCTCCGCCTGAAGAATAGTCTGCCTAGCTTTGTATCTTGCTTCGGGCAGGTGCTCATAATCTTTCCTTGTGACATCTTCCTCTACTGGCTCCGCCTGAAGAATAGTCTGCCTAGCTTTGTATCTATGATTTGCCATTGGTAGATGCTTCTGAACCGCTTCGGGCAGGTGCTCATAATCTTTCCTTGTGGCCCCAGGGCCAGTGACATCCTCCTCTATTGGCTCCGCCTGAAGAATAGTCTGCCGAGCTTTGTATCTATGATTTGCCATTGGTAGATGCTTCTGAGCCGCTTCGGGCAGGTGCTCATAATCTTTCCTTGTGGCTTCAGGGGCAGTGACATCCTCCTCTATTGGCTCCGCCTGAAGAATAGTCTGCCTAGCTTTGTATCTATGATTTGCCATTGGTAGATGCTTCTGAACCGCTTCGGGCAGGTGCTCATAATCTTTCCTTGTGGCCCCAGGGCCAGTGACATCCTCCTCTATTGGCTCCGCCTGAAGAATAGTCTGCCGAGCTTTGTATCTATGATTTGCCATTGGTAGATGCTTCTGAACCGCTTCGGGCAGGTGCTCATAATCTTTCCTTGTGGCTCCAGGGGCAGTGACATCCTCCTCTATTGGCTCCGCCTGAAGAATAGTCTGCCTAGCTTTGTATCTCGCTTCGGGCAGGTGCTCATAATCTTTCCTTGTGGCTTCAGGGGCAGTGACATCCTCCTCTATTGGCTCCGCCTGAAGAATAGTCTGCCTAGCTTTGTATCTTGCTTCGGGCAGGTGCTCATAATCTTTCCTTGTGGCCCCAGGGCCAGTGACATCCCCCTCTATTGGCTCCGCCTGAAGAATAGTCTGCCGAGCTTTGTATCTATGATTTGCCATTGGTAGATGCTTCTGAACCGCTTCGGGCAGGTGCTCATAATCTTTCCTTGTGGCTCCAGGGGCAGTGACATCATCCTCTATTGGCTCCGCCTGAAGAATAGTCTGCCTAGCTTTGTATCTCGCTTCGGGCAGGTGCTCATAATCTTTCCTTGTGGCCCCAGGGCCAGTGACATCCTCCTCTATTGGCTCCGCCTGAAGAATAGTCTGCCGAGCTTTGTATCTATGATTTGCCATTGGTAGATGCTTCTGAACCGCTTCGGGCAGGTGCTCATAATCTTTCCTTGTGGCTCCAGGGGCAGTGACATCCTCCTCTATTGGCTCCGCCTGAAGAATAGTCTGCCTAGCTTTGTATCTTGCTTCGGGCAGGTGCTCATAATCTTTCCTTGTGGCCCCAGGGCCAGTGACATCCTCCTCTATTGGCTCCGCCTGAAGAATAGTCTGCCGAGCTTTGTATCTATGATTTGCCATTGGTAGATGCTTCTGAACCGCTTCGGGCAGGTGCTCATAATCTTTCCTTGTGGCTCCAGGGGCAGTGACATCCTTCCCTATTGGCTCCGCCTGAAGAATAGTCTGCCTAGCTTTGTATCTTGCTTCGGGCAGGTGCTCATAATCTTTCCTTGTGGCCCCAGGGCCAGTGACATCCTCCTCTATTGGCTCCGCCTGAAGAATAGTCTGCCGAGCTTTGTATCTATGATTTCCCGTTGGTAGATGCTTCTGAACCGCTTCGGGCAGGTGCTCATAGTCTTTCCTTGTGGCCCCAGGGCCAGTGACATCCTCCTCTATTGGCTTCGCCTGAAGAATAGTCTGCCTAGCTTTATATCTATGATTTCCCGTTGGTAGATGCTCCTTAATTGCTTCGGGCAGGTGCTCATAATCTTTCCTTGTGACATCCTCCTCTATTGGCTCCGCCTGAAGAATAGTCTGCCGAGCTTTGTATCTATGATTTGCCATTGGTAGATGCTCCTGAACGGCTTCAGCCAGGTGCTTACTATCTTTCCTTATGGCCACAGTGGTTGCAGCATTCCGAGGGAGGGCTTCGTCTTCCTCAAACGGTTTCGCCAAGTGGAGAGTTTGACGGGTCTTAGATTTCTCCTTTTCCTTGGGAGGAGCACTTGCCTTGAGATGCAGCTCCTTGAGGGGACTTATAATATCCTCTTCCATGCTTTCCTCCATGAGCAAAGTCTCTCTACGTTTCGATTTGGCGCCTTTGTGCATGACGTTAACCTCTGATTGGGTGACTATGGCTTTCTCCTCGACAATGTCTTGGTCCATGGACTCGTTCAGGTTCAAGGTACGTCTGGCAGAGGAGGAGGAGGAGCGCCCTGGAGGGATGGCGGTAGCAGCTTGTTCCACCTGAAACACATCCTGCTCCATTTTCGCAGGCAGATGAATGGTCTGTCTGGGCTTGGAGTGCTTCGATGCTGCCTCCTGCATGGTGGATGGAGGGAAGTTCTGGCTGCAGCTGCTGCTCCTGTTGGGCAGACCCACATCGAGCTCCAAGCTCTCATATGTTGTCTCTCTCCTCGTGAAGATCTTGGAACTATTCCGGGATTGGGTCTCATCACCCAATTTGGCATGTGCCAGGAAGTTCGTGTTGTCTAGCATCACCTCATCCGCCTGCGAGAGTCGATACTTGCGCTTGTCATCCGGTATCTTCAGCTTTTCCCTCGGCAATGGCACTACCCTTGCCACTGGCGTTGCTTGTGCCAAGGGGGACATAGTCATATTCACACTGAAATTTAAAGGGCCACGCGGCTTAATGCTCCTTATGTTGATGTCCTTATGTTGCTGGTCCTGATCAATATCCTCATCCAGTCCATGCCAGAACTTCTTCTGTTTGGCCCTGGGATCGGTGGTCGGGGTCCTGGGGCCGTTCGCAAATACCTTAATCTTTCCCGCTTCCAGGTCATCGTTCAGCTGACGAAAGTTCAGCTTCTTGCTGATGTTATTCCCAGAAATCATGTCGAATGGAATGAGAGCAGACTCGTCTCCCAGATAGTTGATGGTGCTATTGTTGGAGTCTGTATCGGAGGAACCATTCGACGGCATTCGGTCTCTGGCACTGAAATCTGTGAGGGAGAAAGTTTACTATGAACAGTTCAAATGAAGAGAGGAAACAACAAACCATTAATGTCACAGTCAAAGGATATATCTCCCTGCCTCTGGCTGTCCTTTCGGCACTCTTCCACCTCCTTAAACGATTTCTGTACAGGATTATCATTATCCTTTTCTACTGGAACGGGGACAGAAGCAGCAACTGGATCGACGAATCCCAGTGGCGTGATGTCCATTAAGGAATCACTCACAAATGTCGTTGGTTGTCCTTTCATATGTTCCTTTTTAAGCGTGGACAAATCCAACGAGCAGTCGTCCCCAACTTTGGATGTGATCTGCATCAGATCTATGGTCTTGTCCGTAATTCGATGGCTGTACAGCGTGTCCTTTAGCTTTTCCCGTCCAATCGAGGAGAGAGAGAAGCTCTCGGCAAATAGTGACTCGCGGGGCACCGAACAATTGGGGCGATTACGATTCGTTTCGCATGGGAACATGGGCACATCGATGCTCGTCCTCAGATTCAACGTCATGTCAATATGCACATTCTCCTTGTCCGCTGTCGGCGCTTGCCGGCTAGGGCCGGTTTTTGGTGCCTGCTCTTTGCTGTTGTCTTCGCCATTGGTGCAATCCGATAATTCGTAGGAGTTTTCCCAATAGTGAGGCTCCTCTGTATTCACGAACACCCTGTGAAGCAGAACAGTATTGTTTCAGTAAATTATACGAATTAAGAGCATGCACTCACCTCACGGACTTCTTGCCACTAAAGCTGATACGACGCTTTAGCATGGAATTCTGCATTGTAGATGTCGCTGTCTGATCGTCTTCTTTGGTTGGCGGTTGCCGCCGCAGCTTCAAATGTTTTGATAAATATTCGACTACATACTAAGAGTTCAACAAAACTCACCGAACTTCTCCGATTTTTTTTATCCATTTCTGTGGCAAAAGCAATGCAATTTTTAAATCTCATTGGGACATGACTACCGCCATTTTTGTTTGAATGCGAATTGGATGTCAAAATGACATTTGCAAATCGATATGTGTATCGATTTCACAGGGAACAGCTGTGTGTTTGCGATGATCCCGGTTTATTCAAAATGGAATTCAAATTAAATAAACTATTACGTTTATTGGCTTTTTTGGATACCGCTTTGATTTATTATAACTGATATGCATATATATAGATTTTTAGATATAAACATAAAAAAGGCCTGTGCCTGTGGAGACGAGTACCACTGCCAGTCTGCTGTTCGTCGAACTTTTCTGGTAGATCTACGCTGCTCGCCTTTGACTCATTCCGCTGAGTCCCAATTAGAACGCTGGCCGACATCTTGTCCACTTTTTTCCCATTTAGGTGTATAGTGGCTTTTCCAGTTTGTATTCTCTGTATCCTCTGTATTCCAATGGCGAAAGCTAGTGCCTCCTTTCACATGCAACAGGCGCGAGACGGATGCTCTCTTTCGCTCTCTCCGAAGACTGCTTCTCATCTCATACTTGCAATAATGTACACGTATAGCACAATAGCTAGAAGATAAGTGTATTAAAAATACATAAGATTCAGTTTAAACGTAACACCCGCTGCTCCTCAGCATGCTCTGCTCTGCCTAGCATCAGCTGTATCTTGCAGGTGCGTGCTCCCGGAAAAATGTATATTGTGCAGTACCATTTTATTCAAAAAAAAAATCCAATAATCACATTTCAAATTTATCAATTAGGCTTTGAAGTTATCTTTCTCCTTGCGCAACTTTCCCATGGTTACGATGGGATCGGTTGCTCCTCCGGCATGCTTCTGGACAGATGCTTCGTGGACACGCATAAACGGATTCCAGATCTTCTCCTCGCCTATGGTGGAGGGGACTGTGGGATCCTGAGACGCACGTCGAAGCTTAGCCCACTCTATGCGTTGCTGTATACTCTCATTATCGGGCTCCACGTGGCGGGCAAAGCTCATGTTCTGCAATGTGTATTCATGGCCACAAAAGACCTTGGTGGTGTCCGGCAGAGCCGATAGCTTAGTGCACAGGGCGTCGTACATCTCCTCGGGGGTTCCCTCGAAGAAGCGGCCACATCCGCCCTGGAATAGAGTGTCGCCAGTGAACACAGCTCCCTCGCCTTTTCCATCGCCAGCGGTCACATGATAGCAAATGTGGCCGGTAGTGTGACATGGAGTGGAGAGGCAGCGTACGTTCAAACTGCCAATGGTAAAGCTGTCATCTTGGCGAACCATTTTGTTCAGTGCGCCGATTCTATCGTCTCCGCCATAAACCTCCAACTCCTTCTCCCACAACTTGACGAGCTTCTCATTGCCACCGGCATGGTCCCAGTGATGATGGGTGGTCAGCACCTTACTGAGAGTCACATTCGCCTCTTGGACGGTCTTGATGACCAGTTCGGGGTCCACAGGATCCACCACAGCTGCCTCGCGCGTCTTATTGTCCACAATCAAGTACATGTAATTGTCCTGCAGAGCCGGCAGGATTTTCACCTGCATGCTCTCCAGCTTGACGTCCTCCAATGTGCTATGCATGCCTCTAAGACCAACTTTACGCAGTTTCTGAACTGAAACAAGACGGAGAATGGGTTATAGCACATGGCATGGCGGGGATAGAGGAAACAGAGGTGCAACAAGCAAACAAAACAAAAACTAAACACAGTGACTATGGCAAAAAAGCTTAGGGCCCAGAGATTAGATTAAACATTAAATGTACGAGTATGTATAGATTACGGTTGACGGGACTTTGACAGACGGGAGGAACAGCCAGAAATCGTCTTCGTATTGATCCAGCACCAGATGGAATCGCAATCCGGAGTTGCAATCGCAATTTGTTGGACGAACCTCGGAAATAGGCGGCAGTCAATTGGGTTTCTATATTGGTAGCCACGCTGCGCCAAGCCGATGAAAACATTTAAACGGTTCTAAATTTAGCTAAGGCTAATGCTTGGTGAGATTAATAAATAAAAGGCACCCCTTAATGGTATTTACTATGTGAATTTTTTCTGGAAAAGTTCCGGTATGTTAAATATATAAGTTTCACAATGTGACCGCGGATTTATCCACTTAACCCACTTAACCCCCTCAATTGAAACAGGTGAAAAACTTTAGTTAAACCGCGGAATTGATAATAATTACTCTTGTAGGTCCATCCTATCCTTTTTCGTTACTTAACCAAAAGACGACGATATTCTTCACCTGAACTGCGCTACTATTCTTCAAGATTAATAATTTTCGTGGAGTTTATTATGAAACCCATTGGTCAATGGGTTAATCGTTTTCTGTCCATGATCGGAGAGCATATTCCTCGATTTTGATTTTCGGTTTAATATTAGAGCTGAGCTGAGCTTCAGAGTTTCAGTTCTCAGACACATAACTGTATCCGATTGATTAATTTATTTCATAATATCAATTGTGTATAAAATAAGGGTTCAACAAAGAAGGTCAAAGCATAAAGGTCATCCCACAACGACAAAGAGAGCAAATCCTACCCGGGTATTTATACCATGAATTGGAGAGTAAAGCTGCGCGCCAAAGTGAAATTGCTTGAAAGGATATAAATAAAATCTACTGGAAATTAAATACAATGGAAGCACAAGGGCAAAAATTTAAAAAACCTGCGTGAAGTTTCTATAAGCTATAAAATGGTAAAAATACCATTGAATACCGATATACACAAAGATACTCCATTTCGACTTCAAAATATACCAAAAAGAATATAATGCCGTAAACGGTCACACTGGATTGGATATTCCCGCGATTATAATTATCGATGGGTAGTATTTATTTGCTGTTAGTGGCCAATTTCGGCAGTTACATACCTGTATTTTTTAGTTTGAACATATCAAGTTTAGAGCCGAGATCCGAATTTGTTGATTGTTGTTTTGAAATAATTCTCCTATTCTCCGGCACAGAACTAAAAATCATTTCATATTGACAGAGTCGTCACCCTCTCTTTTGAATTCCTGCCAGACGATAACAATATCGAAATCGATTTGTCAGTTAGTTTTGAATGGTTGTCAGCAGCTTGAATAGCAAAATGTCCGAATCGACCGACTTAGAGTGCGCCAACTCAAAATCCATGTTGATTGGAGTCCATCACGTGGGTGTGACAGCCAAAATAAAGTCTCCACTCAAGAAGGTCCGCCCCCGCATGGAAATGTCCAGCGAATCTGACATTTTCCAAAATGTCAAGATCAAGACCCAATACAACGCGTTCAAAAATGATCAACTGACAGAGACCACAGTTTCGGACCACAGCTCCCCGTCCGCTTTGTACAAGATGCGGGCCGAACCAGAGAAATTGTTGCTGGGCACCGGGAAGGAAAAGCCGGAGCGCATTGAGTTCGAGCGCTATTCGAAGAGGCGCCCCCGCGTCTTTGTTCCCCTTCGTGGTCGTGCCAGAGTCCCCCAGAGGGCAAAGTTGAACAAAGCATCCCAGGCGCATCCCATGAATACAGGCCTTGTCAACCGCCTGATGTACTCCTTGGACAACATGTGCAAGTGTCAGCCGCAGCACTCGCACAGCATTATCGACGATCTGCCCGAGCCGAACTGGAACAAGAAGGAGGAGTCGCGTCACACCTGCATCGGTATCTATCCGTTCGAGCACGGCTGTGCAGATTACCTGACCACCACGGACACCCATCCCAGGATCAATGCCATTGTCCTGGCCGACCGGGCCACCACCTACGCCACCCACTTCTGGGCGGAGCTGTTCGGACTCCTCCACATCGTCGTGGCCTTTGTGGTGGCCTTCATTCTGCAGGGCTACCGATTCGTTCTCTACTCCCTGGTCAACACCCTCATTGTGGGCCTGTTGCACTTGACCTCCGACTACCTGCTGAAGCCCGTGCTGACCACGCTCTTCAATGGTTTCCTGCAGCCGCCTTTGATCTTTGTGTACAACATCCTCTGCTCCATGCGTGACATTACGGAGCCTTTGGGTGACGGCCTCGGACATTTCCTGAAGCCACTGGCCACTGTATGCGGGAGCATTCGACTGATCGATGTCAACAACCGCCTTGCCCGACGATTATCCAAAGATGTTTGATTTTTCCACGTTTCCATGTTCTTATGTTAAATTGTATTTTAAATTCCATTAAATTGTGTTCCGTTTTTCGTTTCATTCCCTGTGCGTGTGTGTTTCATTGCCAGACGTTTCAGGGGTAGGTGGGCGGAGCCTGGCCTGGCGCAGCAACCAACCCCCGTAAAGGACTTTGGGGTACATGTACATATCCTTCTCATTCCCGCCCTTCCCATCTCCCTCTACAGGATTACACACAAAATTACGCACATTCCGAACGTGGATCGGATTACATTGTTTTTCTTGTTTTCTTGTTCCACAGCACCGTAGCTGTGGCCATAGCGACAGCCAGCACCGCCTCACCCTCTCCCTCACCCCCCTCCGCGGCGGTCCATTGTGGGACTTAAGGGTGTTTGTGCGGAGACGAGGCGAGGCGAGGCTCAATTACGGCGAATGAAACATTTATGATTTATTTGCTCATTTTGTGGTCGGTCCACCAGGACGACGGGGGGAAGCATATGTCTAAAATAAAATCATAAAAAAAACGTATACTAATTGTGTCCCACGAGAGTTTTATTTGGGTTTATGATTTTAAAACTCTATTCGGTGGTCAATCAAAGGCAGGCTTCAACCAGAACCAGTTAGGGATCTGCAGGCCATGGATCTATGGCATTTCAAAGTAGCATCTGTGTACCCGAAATATGAATGATTCTATCTCTTGATTATCCCTTTCCATTCGCCCATTCACCCATACACCCATTTCCCATTTTCACTGTGCCATTTTCCAAAGAATTTTGCCTTGTCTGCACTCAAAATAGAATCAATATAACTGATCTACAAAAACGATGGCTATCAAGGCGTTCGGTTACCTTTTTCCAGTTAAGTTTCACTTTTCCACGGAATCGGAATCTTATTCAGGAAGTAAGCAAACCAACAAATTATCATATTCAAATCTGGAAAAGAAATATCAGAAATGGAATCAACGGTATCAATGGAATGGAAAAGCTCAGGTATAAGGCGCAAATATGTAGCTGGAGGAGGAAAACCTAAGAAAAGACTGTGTGTTTATTTGATTTATAGTTGCTTTGCGGAAAGAAGAGACCCGCACGGCACGAAGTTTTCATTAATGAGAATAATGAGGTGGCTAGTTGCCGTCAAAGGATCATCTTACACATGCACATGCACCCCCACCCGATCCGATACGATCCCATGCCATCCCATCCCAGCCCATGGCACCCCTTTTGGTTTTCCGAATGGGGGAAACGAAACGGGGCACTCTGCCTCTACCTCTGCCCCCAATTAGCTGTGGAAATTTGTTTGTATCTCGACATATGTTTGAAATTAATGAGCCTCCTGCAGCATTGATTGATTTGTCTTATTTTCTTCGTGGCTGATCAGTGCAAACCGATGATTATTAATTGGAGTGTCACAATAACTCTATAAATACATAATATCGTTTTTCAGTAATGCCCACAACCAATGTCCAATCCAACAATCGAAACACAAGGTGCGAAAATCATTTACCCTCTTCAGACGCAATATAGAAACCTCTAGGGTCTGAGGGCTCCGACGACCCGCCTACCCGCCTACCCGCCTACCAGTCACCAGTACAGACTCGCGTATTATACCTCGGTTTACCCATTATTGTGTGATCGACAGACGGATAAGGGCATCCGTGCAGACTGTATTCATGAATGGGAGCAGACGGGGACGTGGTCGGGGTCGGGCTCGGGGTCGGGGCCGGGGACTGGGAAAGGAACAACGTGACGACAAGGTGACAACATCCCGGGACACTTTACAAAACGTTTTGTTCGGAATTTCAAGATTACAGCTGTTAAGCTGTTTTCTGGGCTGCTGCTCTATTTTCCATTCTATTCTCTGGCTGTCTGGTCTGTGAACTGGAATTGTAGGATTAACCGGGCAGGTTCTTCGCAACAATCCTAATACCATGACGTTTGCTAAATATCAGTGGGTTCTCTTCTCTTCTGTTCTGTCTGTCTGTCTGGATCTTTGCGAGAAGTTAAGCAATTTGTGGCCAGTCGTCTATGTCTATGGGCACAATAGTAGAACACAATGGGAAAACGATGGGTTGGCCAGCCGCAAATGGTTATGCAAGAAGTTATGAGTAAATATACAAATTTGAGAGGAACTTTAGGGATTTTCGCATGGGAAATTGAGTAATAGTTGAAGATTATAGCCCAAGTGTTTCGAGACTTCCAGGTACTTGCGATTGGGTCATTGCATACAATGGAATGCTGAGTGATGCAATAAGTTGGAACTGTCCTGAAATAAGAGACGAACATTAGGTATTGAGCATGGAAGTAGCCAAAGGATGTATGGATTAAGATAAGTACTGCCAGAATGAAGTGGCAGGAAAGGATGCCTCATTTTCAATGCAAGGAAGTAAATCAAAATAAGGAATTTATGTAGACACAAATTAAATAGTATAATCACGATTTCGTGCAAGCAAAATAGCTTTAAAGTTCTGTCTTATTTTGATATTAAAGTTGTATAATACTTCTCTGGTTTCTGGTACACCAGGACCGTCTAGAATCAGTCCAAAAAAACTTCTTACTTCCTGCTTTGCTTGGCGGCAACTGCAATGAAAGTGTGATATTTTCCTCTTGACTAAATATACATCTCTTCTCTTAATAAAACTTCCCATCCTTAGTTAATCGCAGAAAAATTTTTGGTGTGATTTCTATGCACAACTTGATCAAGGGCAACACGTTGAGATGGCCCTTACCTCACGATTCCTATTAGATCCACTAGAAACTACATATGTATATACCTTTATGCCTTCCGCTTTGTAGCTCGAATTAATCTCTGCATGAACGGCTTAGGGTCTTAGGCTCTATATAATATCAACTACTAATTCCTTCCTCTTCTAAAATATCTAGCATACCTTACTCGTAGTAAGGTCTTATGATGTATATAATATCAACTACTAATTCTTTCCTCTTTTAAAATAGCTAGCATACCTTTCTCGTAGTAAGCATTAGTATTTCCAATTTAGAATGCATGCTTAGCTCTTTCAGTTAGGTTAGCTTCTATATATTTCTATATTTCAGTTTGGTTCGCGTCACTCGCCATGCGGCAGCGCCCGTCGGTCTCCTGCCTTTCTGCCTGGCATGGGCCACTTGATGGTGCAGTCATTGCCGTTTATTGCCTGTTTGTAGGGTGGCGGATCTATGAGTTTCTACAGGTAAGTACACACGAATAATTATAATTGAACTTTAGCATATGTATTTCACTTCTATTCGGAACAACTACAAGTATGCAAAGCTTGATGGCCACCTGAAAACCAAGGAAATTATGGCTGTTAGCTGTACAATTGCTACAATGGACACTTATAAACCTGTATGTACATACCATAGCAAACAATTTCTGGAGGTTTGTACGGCGACAGTTCCTCTACCATTGTTCAGGCATGGGACGACCGCAGATGCGACAGTTGCTGGCAGCATCGATGGTGGCAGTGGTAGCACTACGACTACGACGTCGGACCGGAACCTCTGAGAGAGTAACAGGTGCTGTGTGCTCGAAGCCGCTGTCCACGTAGCCGCGCTCCACGAGCGCCAGCAGCTTCATGGCGGTGGCCACTCGACGGCGCATCTTCTGTTTTCTCCGCAACATTTCTGCCTCGTCGGGCAGGCAGAATGGCGAATCCGAGTTCTTCTTCAAATTATCCTCCGCCGATGCCAGATTGACTGCTGCATTCAGAGCGGATGTCACTTTAATCATTTCCGACTCCTTCAGATCCCCCAGACTGCGAAGACGTACTGGGTTGGGTTTTTTGACACGGCGTGCGGCAACAGAGCTGCGGGGCTTACTCCTGGGGACTTTGCGTTCTATTGCCATTGTTCGTAAGTAATTTTGAAAATTTTCTAGATTTTCTTTCACAAATATTTATCCTACTTTCTATAATTTCGTTTTGGGAATGAATGAATCAGTATCAAATTCAAATCATCGAATATTTCGATGTAATTTTTAATGCATGCTTGGTTTATTTCGAATTTTCCTCGAATATTCATGTACATGCGGCAGCGCCCCTCGGTCGGCTGGGCAGGAGGAAAGCTGCGCGTCTGCGTGGGACCCGGGCTTAATTTATGAAATTAATGAAAATCCTTTTATATACCTTTTCGACGACCTTGTGTATCGATGGATAGAACAGCCATGCCAGTGTATGCGCAGTTCTTCGTTCCATGTGAATCTTATCGTATCCACGACTATTCTCTTATCTTTGTCCGCGATTTCGGAGTGCATTTAAATTGTTTCAAGTCCATTTATTTGTTGCGAGACAATTTGCATGCATGCGCTTGCAGTATTTGGGAAGCAGACACCAAACACACTCGAAGGAAAAAATCTGCTTGGCTCAGCCAAACACGATAGTGTGGGAACGAACCGAAAGACGCATTTCCATTCAGGCCAAAGCCCAGAGCCCAAAGGGAGTCCAGAACGAAACAAAGCGCAAATAATAATTGTAATGCAAAAAGCTTTGGGTGGATTCCGGCCGACAGCTCTGCCGTCGCGACGGCCCGTAAGTCCTGACACGTGATTTTAATAATGGAATTAGCCGGGATGCGATTACAATTCACAATCCTTTTCCTGCGGTCAATTAGAGGGCACACCTCGCCCACCCCATCGCAGGGGGGTGTTGCCAGGCAGCAACAAAAGCTCAAATATCGAAATTAGTAATCTGTAATCGGTATCGACACCTGCAGTAATCTCTGTCCCCCCTCTCCCCCGTCCGGCGAATCGATGATCACGCAATGTGAAAAATGTGAAAAGGCCAGGGCTCAGAGCATCCCCTTCTCCCCCCCGGCCTGCCTGTGACAAATCTGTGCTCTGGGACCAGGGACCTGAGACCTGAGACCTGAGACCTGGGACTGCGTTGCGTCGAGTGTGACGAAATTGTCAACCCTCCTAATTTGATGCCTAATGAATTCCCTTCAACAGCAACAACTGGAAAAGTGCTCCTGTTTCTGTATGGCTTTGTGCGTCTGTGTGTCTCTGTGTTTTGTGTTCCTGGGGGCAACGGCAACGGCAACGGCAACGGCAGCGCAATTGTTTAGCCTTTTTGTGGATGGATTGTCACCTTTGTGTCCATGTCAGTTTTATTTCATTTTACTTTATCGCACCATTTCGTGTTGCATGCAGCAGTGGAGGAGAGGAGGAATTTTGTAATTGAAATTTGATCCCATTAGATGAGCAGCCAAAGGCAGAGGCAGAGCCTCATCGAGCATCGAGCAGCAAGCAGCAAGTAGCGAGCATTCTTTTCCCAATCCCAGCCTCCGCCTGGGAATCAAATTGCATTGAGTCTGGGTCTGGGACCGAGACAGAGACGGAGACAGAGACAGAGACCGAGACTCGACTTTATATACTCCACTCGTGGATATATCTTGCATTTTATATGCAAAAAATACGGCAAAACACAGCCAGAAACTCGGTGCAAAAATTAAGCAATGTCATAGAAATTTGATGTAAATTCCAAGAAACTGCACACGGGCATTCATTAGATACCCTATACCATATGCCATGTACATACATACATACGTATCTACACCCCCCTACCCGTAAACACGATTCTAATGAGGTCATGATGTTTGTTTCTTAATGAAATTCAATGTTTTTCGCCGTTAGATAACACACACACGCAGAGAAACAGTTTGGCAAACGACAAAATGGCTGCCCGGAGGTTACGCCCTCTTACGCCGAGGATAACGGCACAGGCAATCCACCCCTAAATTGGCCTGCTCAACAACCAGTCAGCGCTCTGCAGCCCCGAACTCGAACCCGAACCCGAACCGAACGGCAATGGAACGGAGCACACAGCCGCCTGCCTGCCTGCCTGCCTGCCCTGCCCTGGCCAGGCCTGGGATTCCCCATGCACGGCTTCTTCCGCTTGCATTTCATTTGATTTTGAACAGCGAACGCGTCAAGACGGTCAGGAGAGAACGGATCTCCCCAACGAAATCCCAAAGTTCTTTGCACAAGCAAAAAATAAAAGAGTGTACAGAAAATCAATAGAAAATTGATACAAATGCAAAGTGATTTTTTTTTTAAAGTTTAAAGTATTTAAATACCAAATATTACAAAATTATGAATTAAGGAAAATCAATCAAGTGCTTTAATTGATAGCCCGAAAAACCCCATAGTCACCCCAAAAGTGAAAAGTTATCATACGCAAACCAAATTAATAGAAAACTAGCGTAATGTTCGAGAAAAATATGGATACAAACAATCTGTCAGCGTCCATAAGCGGGGACCTGGACTCGACCAGTTCCGGCGGCACTTCATCGGACCATTCGGCGGCGCAACAGGATAATCTCAGCTCTCCCATGGCCTACGGATCGCTCTTCCTGCCAAATCCCGGTTAGTTATACAATGTCCAGTCCTATCAGATCAGTGCGGAAAACCAGAGACGGCCAATATCGTATTACCCCTATGTAGACAGAGGCGTCAATGAGGCGCTGCATAAACAATTAAAGCCTGGACTACTCAATTTGCTGAATATTACAAAAGTTTTGAGGACTGCATGTAGTGCACAAGTGGGTTTTATAGAACAGAAGATGACGTTGGTATATGCACTCCAATAATGATACCATTAATATGGGCATATGGGTGGGCTCCAATTTGTTTTTAGTTTTTCAAATCATTTCCTTGTCTACAAGTTTTTGTTCTTTGCTGGCTGTAGGCTCTAGGCTGTAGGCCATCCAGAATTCGTTGATTCATAGCCCGTTTTTGTGGCCTAAACCAATGTACCATCAAATGCATTATGTATTACATATCTGTATATGTATGCATGCACATATACACATACATATTTCTTTGGCATATATGCACTTACATTTATGTACACATATCGGATTTATTTATTTGCTTGATGTCTCTTTCTGGTCTCGATATGATATACAGTCCCCGTCTCCGTCACCGTCCGAAGGTGTCGAAAGACAACGATCGTTTTGGTCGGCTATTTGATGATTAGTCACATCCAAATGTGTGGGGCTGTGGGGTGGGCTGGGGTGTGGGGGGGTTACCGACCAGCCCACCGAAATGGCACGTGAGAACGAACGACAAAAGAGCTAATTTCTCCGCATGATTTCGCTTACCCCCTCCCGACCAGGCTATCGCGGCAACCTCTCGTGCAAGACCGTCTTGCAGTTGGATAAGTTTGGGCCGTACGAGGCCGCGGAGAAGGATCATCTGCTGGAGCGCCGCTTTCAGGATATTACCAACGATTATGACAAGTCCCCACCGCCCACGGCCTCGACCACGCCCACACATTACCCCACTCTGAACAGCATTATGTTCGAGAATGGCGTCAGTGGCGGCCCTCTGGGCGATCTCAATGGCAATACGAAGACGGACTCCCTGTGCGCCGGTCTCCAGAGAGGTGGTGCCGGCGGTCTTGGTGGCAATCCGGTCACCGGGGGACACCTCATATCGAATCTAACGGCTGGCCACAACATGTCCGCCGTGGGCAACTTCCCCATCGATGCCAAAATGCTGCAGTTCTCCACAGACCAGGTGAGGACTTGAACGTTTCTATGAGGAGGCTTTCGGGTAATCATCATTTTGTACCCATCCCCAGATCCAATGCATGTGTGAGGCCCTGCAGCAGAAGGGCGACATCGAGAAGCTAACCACCTTCCTGTGCAGCCTGCCGCCCAGCGAATTCTTCAAGACGAACGAGAGTGTGCTGCGGGCCCGCGCCATGGTCGCCTACAATCTGGGACAATTCCACGAACTCTACAACCTACTGGAGACGCACTGCTTCTCCATCAAATACCATGTGGATCTGCAGAATCTCTGGTTCAAGGCCCACTACAAAGAGGCCGAAAAGGTACGCGGTCGTCCCCTGGGAGCGGTGGACAAGTATCGCCTGAGAAAGAAATACCCCCTGCCCAAGACAATATGGGATGGCGAGGAGACTGTCTATTGCTTCAAGGAGAAGTCGAGGAATGCCCTAAAGGATTGCTATCTGACCAATCGCTATCCCACGCCCGATGAGAAGAAAACGCTGGCCAAGAAGACGGGCCTAACGCTCACCCAGGTCTCCAATTGGTTCAAGAACCGCCGGCAACGGGACCGTACGCCCCAGCAACGATCGTAAGTTGATATGGAATTAGTTCTATTTGAATCTGTAGCATTTCTGCCCTGTCATAGGGTACATACATGGAACCTTTCCTTTCCTTTCCCTTCCATTCCATTCCAATCCATTTCCACATAACTCGTAAAACAATTCATTCAACACTTGAGTATGTTCCACCCAGAAGAAATGGGAAAACTGGGAACAAAATATAATCAATTGTTTTGGAAATTGGCATTAAAAATCGTTTGTACTCGTAAGTGACCGTAAAACACTTGCGCGTCCAGTTCTGTACTCCGGACCGAAAATGCCACTTGAGCGTGTTTTATGTCCAATTTTGCCCTTAGCTTAGCTCAGCTCCTTCCATGGGTCCATGGGTCCATGGGTCCATGGCCCGTCCTGTGCATATTTATAGAGGCTAGGGGACGGGACGTGACCCTAACGCAGCGCATGCGTGTAGCATGTGCCGCACCGCTCCGTCGACTCCCCGCTGGCTGATCGCCTTCTCCCTGGGCGTCAAATTGCAGCTCTCACTCTCGCACTTCTCTTCACCAGCAAGTGGACTAAATGTGTTTCCCTTTTTTATTTGTGTGTGCTTGTATGTGCGTACCAACTATATATTCCCTTTCCTTTTCGTTCTTTGCAGTGATATTATGTCGGTGCTGCCAGTGGGCCAGTTGGATGGGAATGGCTTCCCGCGCATGTTCAACGCCCCCAGCTATTATCCCGAGACGATTTTCAATGGGCAATAAACTTTGAACCATTCGGAGGGGGCTCGTTCCATTGTTTTGTAAATACGGCGTTTTTATGTTTAAAAAAAACCAAAAGCAAATGAAAAACTGGTCATCAAATGGCATCATAATCTGTAGCTTTAGAATAATCTTTTTTTTTGCTCTATATATTGTACAATAAAACCTAATAAGTAAAATGAATGAATTGTACGAGTATAATTGCAATAGATTAATAAATCCGAATTCCAGAATAGTTTATAAATATGTTTTTTATTTATTTATTTTAAGCGTACATAGTGGAACGATAGAGGCAGTAAGTATTGCGTGTATTGCCACAAAGCTAGTCTTATATTTACACATGCCTGCCCTAGTAATACTTATAGCAGGTGGGGGAGGTCTGATTTGGGTCTATTTATCCTTATATTTCATTTTGATTTCATACAGCGCGATTCTTTCCTCCTGCTCCAGTTCGAGCTTTCTCAGCTCAACGGCTGTTTCCAATTTCTTCTCCTCAAACTTCATTCTTCTCAGCTCCTTCTCCTTGAGCCAGTGGAATTTCTCCACCTCCAACTGCAGAATGGCTTCCTTAAAGTTCAGCTCATCGATCTTCTTGGCAGCAGGGCAACCATGGTCCATGGTCTTTTCCTCGATTCTACTTTGGTGGTTCTGTAGCTCAGTCTCGTATAAGGAATCAGAGCAGTCAATGGGATCCACTGATGATTCGGTTTCGGATCTCAGATACTCCTCATTAAGGGAGTCGTCGTTGCTGAATATCGATGCGCGCGGATGGTTGAAGTCGGTGTTCCACGCGCTATTGCTCATGGAAGATTCAAAATTGAAATCGGCGCCAAACATGTCAACCAGCTGATCATAGTGCGGGCACAATTGCAGCAAGGTCTCTGCAAACATTTGCAAATTGTTATCACAAAAAGCATTTTTGGTAAGTAATCAGTTTACCTCTAACTCTGTCGGGATCATCAATCTCTGCTCCTTTCGTCTTCATCCAGGTATTGGCCTTCTGTAGAGTACCCTTTAGATATCTCAGCTTGCATTTAAATGTGTTCCAAGAGCCGCTTATCTTGGTTTCCTCTATCAGTTTCGTGTAGTACTTTCTTGCCGTGGGCTTCTATGAAATGATTGTTGTCGTTTTCAAAAGCTCAAGTCTGAATCGGTTGAGGATAATGGTTACCTCGATATTGCCGTGCCTAGAGATGTATGTTAGCATAGATTTTATTTCCTCATCATTCCATTTCTTTATGGTTGTAACTTTCCGATGCCATTTAAGTGGTTTTGCTGCGAATATACATACAAAATATTTAATCCTGATTAATCTTAGGTGTTCTGCGTATACACTAACTGGTTTTGTTTGAAGGCATGTTCTGGGAAAGATTTTATTTTGATTGTTTGTTTGTTTTTTGGTTGTTTTTTTGTTGAAATTAGAGGTGTCAAGCCATCGAGGGCACTATCGATAGTATCCATGTCATGGTTTTGCTACTATCATGATACTATCGATATTGTTTTGGCCATATTCTAATAGTAGGCTGTTTTTCCTGGTATTATTTCTCGAAATACCAGAAACATACCAGCATATTAGTATAGGAAACGCGAAAGAAATGTCAAGTAAATCTAATCTTAGCGAATACTTTGCTAATGATCCACCTAGTTTTTTTGATGAGCTGACGAATAAACCCAAGTCCAAGGAGATACCAGCAGAAAGTATTGTCAGTGGCACCAGCAACAATATGTTGTCAAACACATTCACAGGTTTCTTTCAACCTCCCGAATTTGTGGAAACACCTGAGCTAGAGGAGCCCATCAAAGTTACCGACGAGGTCCGTAATTTGTGGGAGCTGCCCCGAGAAAATGACCACAGTAAATTGATTATGCCTGGCATACACCTACAACACGATCTGGTCGGTGAGATACAGAATCTTGTTAGAGCTTTCCACCTTATTACCACCTATTTCAGCCCGATCCCATCAGTGTGGCAGTGACCCAGCACCTTGGAGAAGCTGAATTGGCAAACCGGAAGATCCTGGGCGTGGACGATGTCACCCAAGACGAGCGGGGCCTGAGGAACCTAATCCATGCAGGCTGCCTCCGCACGGCAGTCAATTTAACTGGCCGACTTTTGACGGTCTATGGTCAGGGCTATGGACGTGCTGGACAGCCAGCCAAGCATTCCCCTCACTCGCTGCAGCTGTGGTTCACTCGCCTGGCGCTGCTGGCCAAGCTGGGCGAATTCGAGCTGCTGCAGACCGAAGCGGAACCCTTTGGACAGCTCACAGCCCCGGATGTGTTCTACGATTTCTATCCCGAGATGTACAATGGAAAAAGTGGATCCATAGCGTGCTTCTCGTTCCGCCTGCTACTCGCCGAGCTGCCCATTTACATGGGAAAGCCCCACGTAGCCCTGGACAGGCTGTCGGAACTGCATGTGACCAGCAATGAGATCAAGCAGCATTATATACAGATGCAGAACAAGACGGCCGAGCAATTCTGGCAAAAGCGGTGCGAAAGGGTCTTGCATTCCATTATAAACTGTGGCCTGATGGTAAGTCCCAAGGGCTTACATGGAACATACATTTATAATTTAATGAAACCCACACGTGTAGATGAAGAAATTCAGTATGATTGATGATATAATGGATGGAACCCTGTTGAAACGCTCGAACCTAAGCAAGGACGACCAGCGATCTCTGTACTCGGCCTGGGGTCGCATCTATTTGCAAATCGGAGATATCTTTGGGGCGGAGCAAAAGTTTGCCGTCTCCCGGCGACTGCGAGAAATGTAAGCTTTGAATATTTCATAGATGGATAAATGTATTCTGATTATATTCCTTTTACAGGAACTCTGCGCCTGATCTAAGGGACCTTATGGACAAGGGCCTTATAGCAGTGGCCAAAAACGATTTTCCCGAAGCGTACCTCATATTTCAAAAGGCTTTGCACTTGGATTCTGGCAATACGTTGATTCTGAACAACATGGGAGTGTGCCTGCTGTACGCTGGGAAGCTCAAGGATGCCATTAATCTGTATGAGCATGCCATTAACCAGAATCCCCAGAGATCCCTGAACGAGAGCCTGCTGGTTAATCTGTCGACTTTGTACGAGCTGGAGTCCAACAACTCGAAGGCGAAAAAGTTCAACTTGCTGCGGTTGATCAACAGATACAAGCCAGATCTCAATATTAGCATAGAAATTTGCCTTAAATTGCAGACGATCAACTAAATATAGAGTAACTTATTTATTTTTGTTACACACATTCCAACACCCTTAGAATAAAATTTCACAAGATATCTTGTGTTGTTCAGTATTATTCAAGTCCATCCTTGGTTTGTGCAATCGATATGTAAAAAATACCACGCAATCGATACCATCGCGGACCTATCGCTGCGTAGGCCATCTCAAATCGACTTCCCAGTATCGGTCGCCTGAAAAAGAATTTGAGAAGAATTTATTTATAAATTTCCATAGAAAATCGCGGGAATATTTACGTATAGAATACGCCTAAATGTTTGGAAACACGTAGCGAGTGTTTATCTGAATAGGATAGTTGGAAATAGGTGAGTTTTGTGGCATTTAATGGCGTTTCAAAAGTACGGCCACACGATGCCAGGCAGCAGGCGTATATAAAATGGAAAATATTGATGTGCTGCCTGTGGGTGCAAAAAAGAAAGTGTAGAGAAATTTTCGTTGCAGTTAGAATATTGTATATTTTGACTATACTCCTGTTTATGCTTCTCCTGCGAATGATTCAGATTAAACGATGTTCGATCCAAACCCATTTGACTGTTTTTTTCCTTTAATTTTAGCAATTTTATTTTGTTTGGATGTGTATAAAAAAAAAGCGCGCCATTATTTTTGTGCTATGACGTAGCCATCGGGGGCCACGAAACAAAGTGTAATTTGTTGTATTTTAGCTCATGTGCAATTGTTTACGGCGTGCATAATGCCTTCTCTTCATTGTGTGTGTGTGTGCAGCAAATAATTTTATATAGTTTTTATTCTGCTTGTGGCGGTGCGCATACGCTAAGGTACACGCTCGTCAAAACATATACACATAACCCAGGCAAAAGGCAGAAAATCTCTATTCTTTTGCAATTTGTTTTGATTTCTCATTCGTGTGAGAGTTGTTGTCATTGGTTTTGCGCTCTCTTCGCCGTCGCTCTCTGGCTCTCTCGCTCATGCGCGCCGTCTCTCTGTGCCGACGGTTTTCCGTATGAACGTGGAGCGCAAAATCAAAATGCGCTGAGAAGAGAACTGAAATCTTTCTCACATTTGTTGGTAGAATGTCGCGCGACTTCATTCCAAAATTAATTTAAATAATTTTTTCACAACCTTCCCACGTTCCCCTGTGTGGCAGCCGCCGCCCTGAGCGATCTCGCTTCGCTGAAAGTCTGGTTTCGACTGCCGTAACGGCAGTTATCGCCTCTTTGGTGGTTGCCGTTTTTCTTCGATTTCGACGTGCACTCATTTCATTATCTCTGGTGCTGTGCTGGCATGGCTTTTTTCTAGCTAGATCTGGCTATTTTTTTTCGTTCTCTTTTTGTGCATAGGATATCTTGTGGGAATAAGTTATTGGGTATTTGTATATTTTAATACAATAATATACCAGTTGACAAATGAACATCACCCGCTTATAATTTGTGTAGAAACTTCGTAAATAATCTTTATTTTCCCCTTAGAAAATCATATTAAATAGATGGCCATCCGCCCTTGTCTGCCTTAAAATTTATTTTCTTCGCGCTTTTGAATCTCATTTTCCTAAGTTCGGTTTTCCTAGTTACGGGACCCATATACGAGGTTAAGTCTCCATGTACTCATTCATTGACGAAGGAATTTTTGAAGTTTTCACTCTGGCACTTGCACTTTTCCCATCCCAAATATCACCTCGGGCATCTCTTCTCTCTCGACCATTGGTGAATAAATACAGTTTTAAAAAAGCCATTTTTAAGTTAGTCCTTGTTTTTCCGTGTTCTATTAATAATCTAACGATGCAAACTTTAATGAACAAGTTATTTTTTGAGACTTTTCATTTTTCCCGCTAGTTTTGTTTGCGAGATGCTAAAGCTGACATCACTGTTCATTTGATTTCCGCTCTTTCTCTCTAAGTTATTCTCAATCTCTCTCTCTCGCTCTTTCTCTCTCTCTCTCTCTCTCTCTGACCGATGGAACTGTAAACATATGTGTATTATTTTTGTTTACCTTTCTCTCAGATCATCCACAAGATGGCAGCCAACAACAGCAATAGCAATATACACAATCTGGGGCCGGGGACGGGCGCGGGACTGCCGCAATCCGTGATTGCATCCACGGGTACCCCCCTGGGGCCGACTCCGCCAGCCACCAGCAGTGCCTCACAGAGTGCCTGGGACCAGCTAACGGCGAGTGCCTCCAACAATATGTCGCCTTCGCCGACGGCTGGAGCGCCGACGGTGACGGGGCCCATTTTAAGCGATGCACCACCCTCCCTTGGTGGTGGACACAACATGAGTGCCGGCAGCTCGCCAGTGGCCAGCTGCTCCTCCCCGTCAACGCCGACAAAGACGCACGCTCCGTCGCCGCTGGAGAGCATGGCCCACACCCCGCAAGGACCACCCACGCTGGGTCCGGGCCCGGGTGGTTACGGTGAGGAATTGACTGCCGAACTGGTGAACCAGGGCTGGCGAAAGTTCTGGTCCAAGCGGGAGAATCGTCCGTACTACTGGAACAAGGTCACGGGCGAGTCGTTGTGGGAAATGCCCGGCACGAGACCGTTCGATCCTCTCACGGATCCCCTGGGGATTTGCCATGCTGGCGGGGCCACGCCAATTCCGCCACACATGCAACAGCAGCAGCAGCACCACCACCATCTGAAGCGAAGGCCCTCTGATGACATGCACATCCATCCGAATCAGCAGCATCAGCACCACGGGGGCGGTGGACCACCCATGAAAAAGTTCGTCCTGGCCGGACCCTGGGACCTAGAGGTCTGCACCAATGCGGTCATTGTGGAGCGTCCGCCAACACTGCTACCCCAGCCCCATCCGGAGGTTGAGGCACTGAGAGCAGCCCTAAGCATGAAACTGCTGAAAACGTACGAGGATCTGTGCATGCGCAGGGAGAACATCAAGGCGCCGAGAGACTCCTTCAATCGCTGGCTGATGGAGCGCAAGGTGATCGATACCGGGTGCGATCCGCTGCTGCCCAGCAGCTGCAAGCCCGAGATATCCAGCGCCATGTACCGCGAGATCATGGCAGATATACCCATAAAGCTGGTGAAGCCCAAGTTCACTGGGGATGCTCGCAAGCAGCTCTCCAGGTACGCCGAGGCGGCCAAGCAGATCATCGAGTCCAGATCAGCGCCGCCCGAGTCGAAGAAGGTGGTCAAGTGGAATGTGGAGGACACGTTCCAGTGGCTGCGGCGGACTGTGGGCGCCAGCTATGAGGATTTCCAGGATCGCCTGGCCCACTTGAAGCGCCAGTGCGAGCCGCATCTGGTGGAGACGGTCAAGAGTTCGGTGGAGACGCTGTGCGTCAAGATCTACCATCTGTCCGCGGATCATTCCCGCAAGATACGTGAGCGGCACCTGCAGCTGTTGAAGGAGCATGGCATACCGGAGCCCACGCCACCGCCGCCGCCGCCGCACCTGAAGAAGGTATGGTGCTACCCCATCCAGTTTGCAGTGCCCTCGCCCCGCATGCCGGCCATCGAATATCTGCAGGATCGCGATCACATGATCATCAAGTATACGCCCGCAGCCATCAATCAGCCGGATGCCCAGTACATCAACCTCACCTATCTGCAGAAGCTGGAGCAGCTCTATCGCCACAACTGCTTCGACGACAAGAAGTTCGATCTGTTCATTGGCCGCGTGTGGTGCCTGCTGAAGCGGTACCAGACCTTCCTGGGCAACTCATTGAACTCCTCGCAGGAAGCGGAGATCACCCAGGCGGCCTTGCCAGTGCCGGTGTTCGAGTGCCTTCATCGTCATTTCGGTGTCAGCTTTGAATGCTTTGCCTCGCCATTCAATTCCTATTTCCGGCAATACTGCTCCGCGTTCGCGGACACGGATGCCTACTTCGGGTCCCGAGGGTGCGTTTACACACATTTCATTTCCTACTGTTCCACAATATATGTATGATTGATTTCCGCAGGCCCTTCTTGGAGTTTAAGCCCGTGTCGGGGTCCTTCCAAGTGAATCCTCCACATTGTGAGGAATTGATTGAAGCTTCCTTGGTGCATATTGACAAACTGTTGACCGATACCATGGAACCGCTGAGGTAGGGTGTTTCCAGCTCCCCATCTCGAACATAAAATACATTACGTTCTCTTGACCCTCTTAGCTTCATTGTTTTTGTGCCCGAATGGAAGAGCATATCTAGGCTGGACGAGAGCATGTACAAGCGCCGCTCAATGGTGGTCCTGGGCATGGCCCACGAGTACAGGCATGGCTACCAGCATATGTTGCAGAAGTAAGCATACACACGGACTCCTCCGGATGCAGCAAGAACTATTCCTAATTACTAATTGTTTTTCGTACAGATCGGAAGTGCTTATCAAGTGCATGCAGGGCACCCAGGTGGTCTGGCTGCAGAACAGCGCCGGCTACGCACGCTGGGGACCCAATGAGAATCGTGTGGAGGCACTGCGCGAGGCCTTCCGGCCGCAGCGGGATCGCGAGCGTGAACGGATGGCAGTGGCTGCCGCCGCTGGGGCCAGCAGCCATCCCAGCCAGCAATCGCCAGCGGCCACGCCCCCATCATCGACATCGGGAGCGGCCACAGTGGCGGCATCAACGCCGACAACGTCCAGCACAGCAAACAGTGGCAGCGCCAGCAATGCCACAGCCATTACAACGAGCGCCAGCAGCAGCAGCAACAGCATCCCATCCCCAGCCTCATCTTCTTCCATTCTGACGCCACTTTCGCCACACACGCCCACTGGGAATCCGCCGCCGCAGTTCCCGCCAACCATAAGCAATACGAGCAACAGCAGCAATCTAGTGGCTGCCTCGCCCACAATGAGTGTACAAAGTGACTGCTCATCGCCCTCATCGTCCACGATGTCGCTCTCCCCGGCACCAGCCTCCGGCGGCTATCCGGATGGCGGGAGCTCGGCAACAGCGGCTGCTGTTAGCATTACGGCCACGGCCAGCACTTCGGCGGCAAGCACTGCCTCAGCATTTGGCCAGGCGACCAGCATCAATAGCTCAGCCACCACCCAGGCAGCCATCAATTCGGCTGTCTAGAAGGCAAGGAAAAGCCAAGGCTTAGCACACAGCAGATAGCAGCCAGCAGACAGCAGCCAGCAGCCTGCTACTTCAATACGAGTATCCATATTGTTCTATTTTTTTTTTTTTTTCTATACTATCTGTGCACTTTTGGGCTAAGTACCACAACCGTTGTGTTTACTTCAATTAGGATAAATATTAGGGGATATTGCATGAGGAAAACAATGAGTAATTGGGGGACGGCTCCCACCACGCTGAGTGCCGAAGAATCTATCTATCTTGTTATACACTTTTTCTACGCTATGCTAAATCCTATATCTATATTGATGATGAGTTTTACATTTTCAATTTCTTGGCATTCGGCTGCCGGGATGTCCCCACCCCCCAATACCCAATCCGTTCAGTGTTAGGGCAAGCAACAAGTTATACATTTTAAGTGTAAATATGTTATATTTAAGTTGAAATAGTTGATAGACACCGGCCTGGCCGTCGTTTATCTTACAAGCATAAAGTACGAGAGCATGAGAGCATGCGTGTAGTAATTATAGTCCCCCCAAAACAAAGCTACCCGAAGAAAGGACTCGTAACGATGCATACATAGTATGGGTAGTGTGGGGCATGGGTATGGTACGTGGATTTCCCATCCTTGTTTTGGGGGGGCGTTGCAAAATGGTTTTCCATTCAACAAAACAGAAACTGATACAAGAGCATCAAATAATAAACCAACACACTGTAATCATACATATACAGAAAACGAACTCTAAAGCCCCTAAAACAATCTTTTGTGAGACTATTAACATATAGGATACATTTACCTTAAACAATTATTGCAAACAATTATTTGAATACTGAATACTGAATATCGCACGTGTACCAAGGCGATAAACGTACGTTAAAGCTAAAGTAAGTAGAAGAAACAGAATGCAGAATGTGGAATGCGCAAGAGAACCAAAATTTTGTAATGAAACCTACGTACACCTACGCACCCGCACAATAAACGACAACCATTTGGTATGGTCCGACAGCTCCGAGATCTCCAGAGAGTTTCGAATGGTTGGTACTTTCCTCGATTTCTCGATGGAAACTCTAAACTCCCTGAAGGCCTCGGAGGGACTCGCGGCAAGCCAAGCAGAACACTTGAACACACAACTAAAGGGAATTTAGCCAATTTATAGAATGTAGCACTCGGCAAACAAATTTATAGAAATCAATTAACATTTAAGTCGAAATTTATTAAACGAATATGACAGATCCCCAAACCCCAATACACACCACGTATCGCATCGTATCCGTATCCGTATCGTATCGTAAACAAAAAGCATTTTTGCGCTTAATTAAACAACATTTTTTTTCGATTCAAATCTGTTATGTAAACCTTTTTTATTACATATTATTATTATATTATATAGACATCGTATCGCATAAGTGTGTGAGTGAGTGTGTAAACCTCTTGGATATGGATTAGCTGTTTGGAGAGCGTGTACTCGTATAAAGAAAAACTTAAATGGCTATAAACGCAAAGAAAAAAAAACAAACCAAAAGTCTCAAAGGCATTCAAGGGGGGAAATTCAATATACAAACGTTGCAGCTAAGTATCATACTATATAGCTAATCTATATGGTGTATTAGTCCATATGGCCATATGGCGAGCCTCTCTACATGATCTCCAGGCTGGAGTCGCTGTTCTTTGTTACCACCTCGGTTTCGGAGGAGCCAGAGCCGGAGCCAGCATCGTCGCCCTTCTCATTGTCATCCGACGGACTGTGGAGATGATGATGGTGCGGCGAGCTGGCCAACTGCCAGGCGGGAATGGATGGCACTGTCACTGGAGCCACGGGCGAGGCGAACTGCTTGCGATTCAACAGCAGACCCTTGATGGCATCCAAGTCGCTGCGAAAGTTGCTAAACTCCCGATTCAGCTGCTGGGCGTGATCCCTTTGCTGGCTGGTGATCAAGTCCTTGACCACAGAGATCTCCTTGTTAAGGTCCTCGGTGCGTGTCTCGACCTTTTTGTCGATGTCCTCCAAAACCTCCTCCACGGGCTTCCTCTTGGGCTTGCCAAACAGATATGGCGCAATGAATTTCTGTTCGAATTGGAGGATTCAATGGGTCAGCCATAGTGTTCTGTATTGCCTGTGAATCACCCTACTCCCAACTCACCTTCCAGAACAGGTACACCGCATAGATGACCCCACTAAACAGGGCCGTCGAATGGATTATCTCACGTATGCGGCCGAAAATTGTTGGCTGCAGTTGCAGAGCCTGCACCTGGGAGCCAATGTTGATAACCGTGTTGGGATTATTCGGATCTTGGGTAAAAACGCCGGCCCTCTCGCAAGCCAACTGTATTTCATGGGCCGTCAGACCTTTGGACCGTAGGAATTGTTGCTTCTGGATAAGCGTTGTGTGCCGCACTTTGGTGTTTTGTAGAAAGCTCACAGCAGTGGTTATCTTTTACATAGTTGAACGGATTATTTTATAGATTAGACAAAGCCAAAGTGCAAGGGGGACGGGTGCAATTTACCAGAGACTCACGGGGTGTCTCCTGCAGCAGCTCCTCGCCGGCACCGAAATCCTGCACCGACGTGCTGGTGGTGGCCATAATGGTTGTGTCCCCAGTATCCGTATTGTTGCTGGACATTTTAATATCTACTTTTAATTCAATTTTGTTGTTTTCCTTTAACCCCGGGACCCAAAAATCAGTCGCAGTATTTCTGTCTGAAAGCCTATAGTGAAATAAGTATGAGGTGGGGCCAAATCGAAACTATTGCTTGCCCTACTATGTATGACGTCACAAAAATAAGTCAAGTGCTTTCGTTGAGGTGAATTACCAAACAAATGAAGAACAAAAATAGAAAAATTAGGTAAAAAAATGTAATACAAATGTTTGCCATTGAAGATATTTGTCAAATTATGCAAATAAATGATTGAAATTTGGCTTAGGTTTTTTAGCGTCACCTTTTCAGCGACCGCAGAGTCACCCTAACGCGTTGTAAAAATACCACATCGGCCATAGCCGCCTACGATTAAGGTAATCGTACTTTTATTTTTTAGTTCCTTCGTGGAAAACAAACGAATTTTTCAAAAAATGGACAAGCTAAAGGGTATGCTCAAGGCCTACGAGGAATGGGTGGCCAGGAATCCGGATGTGGTGGGCGACTTTGAGACCACAGCCAAATGGGTGTCGTACTTTATAGCAGGTATTTGTGTACTCAAGAAGAAAGTTATGTTCTTGGAGATCGATGATGATGCAACTTGAAATCCGTTTTGCAGGTCGGATATCCTCCTCCAATGTGCTCTCCGAGCTGGTATATACCCTGTCAAATATGCTGGTCTTTTATAACGATCGGATCATCGACGGGGAACGCAGTGCCAAGGAAAATTCGATGCTCCGGCTGCAGTCCAAACTCTGCTATCGTCTAAAGGTCACGCTGACGACGCTCGAGTACAGCGAGGTGTTCATCGAGATATCGGCGAGGCGGCTGTTCGGCCAGACCGGCAAGTGGCTGTTGATAGCGCTCATACAGGTCTTCAAGGCAGCAGGAAGACTGTTTATCTTGCGACATTCCACATCCGATATAATCACCTCACCGCCCATAGCCTCGCTGAACAGGCGGGCCCTCGGCAAACAGCGGAAGACGGCAGCGGCTGGCGCTTCCGCCGCCAATGACGATGCCAATGTGATCCAATCCCAGCACTCTGTAACCTTCCAGTTGAAGCGATCGGGTCGCATCATCCGGAAGGTGGAGGGTGCGCCGCCCATACAGTATCGCGACTTCAACCTCCACGTGGAGAACAACGAGGCAGCCAAGGCGCAAGTGCCACGCCAGCTGCTCACCGCCGAGTACCTGTACATCTCCAAGCCCCTCATCCATTTGGCGGCAATGGGCCTGTTCGGGCGCCGCAGCTGGAAGCAGTACATGGTGGCCCTGTCGGTGGATCTGTACAGCATCCATCTGTATCGCCAGCGCAGACACCTGATGTCCAAGCAACAGAAACTGGAGCTGAGCAGGCGATGCATCAACCTCATGTATTTCCTTGTACGCTCCCCCTTCTATGAGAGCTACACGCAGACGAGGCTGGAGAGGCTGCTCGACCTACTGGTCCGCACGGTGCCACTGGCCAAGATGGTGTCGGATCCATTGAAGGACTACATTCCACAGTGGCAGAGCACGTACTTCTACCTCTGGTCCACTTAAGCATCGGCACTGCACTGGAGAACATTAGTATTCCCATTCCCCCCTTATAAGATAAGTTTCAAGTTACAGGTGATGCGCGTGTGGGCTTTTGTATGGCTTTTAAATTATATATGGAACAATATTTTTACACATACAGTAAACGAATTGTTGTTTTTCACTTACATTCTAACTATACATAACAGTTACTCGTAATTATAATTGGCTAAAAAACACAAAGACCTCGTATCTCGGACCTCTGACGAATCAGAACTTCAGACTGAATCCCGGTCCCATGGCCAGCTGGCGTTGCGTGAGTCCTGCGTGCAGCACAAAGCCAGTGCTGCTGGCCGAAGACGCAGCCACAGCGGCAGCAGTGGCGGCCGATCCACCGTGGCTCTTCTTATTGCCCGTGATAATGCCCGAGGAGAGTTTGTTCACGGCCGCAATGGGCTCATCCCGGCCCAGTTGCTTGAACTGGGAGCCACCCGAGGGCGGTTTCGGCGACGAGGCCTGCGCCTTGCGTGCTCCGAGCTCACTCTTGGCCGGCCACGTGGGGAACATGGATGGATCGATGGGTAGGGGTAGCTCCTTGAAATAGGCATGTTTCAGGGCCGCATCAGCCGTCAGTCTTTGTTTGGGATCGTACGTCAACAGGCCCTGCAGCAGCGACAGTCCCATATCGGAGGTCTTCTCCAGAAAGTGTTTGCGCAGCTGTGACACGGGATATTCGGTGAACTGTGAGTTCTGGCTCAGCATGTTCTTGACGGCGGGTAGCTCGGTATAACCAGGCCAGATCTTATCGTTAGGTGTTCCCAGTTCCTGCAAACAAACAAAAACATCAATGAACAGGATTTCCATGGGAAAAACCTTCTATAGCCTACCTTGAAGATCCGATTGAGTTCATCGATCTCCGATTTGCCTGGAAACAGGGGCAACATCTGAAGGAACTCGGCGAAAATGCAACCCACCGACCACACATCAATGGGCGTCGAGTAGACCGGAGAGCAGAGTAGCAGCTCTGGTGCCCGATACCAGAGCGTGACCACCAGCGAGGTGTACTTCTTGATCGGTGAGCCGTACTCGCGTGCGAGGCCAAAGTCGCCGACCTTCAGTATGCCCTTGTGGGAGAGCAGCAGATTGGAGGTCTTCAGGTCCCGATGCAGTATCCAATTGTCGTGCAGATGGGCCACTGCCAGCAGCAGTTGCTGCGTGAGGCACTTGACCTCGCCCGGAAAGAAGCTCTGCTTGCGGTTCTTCATCGTCTCCATCAGAGACTTGAGATCGTGCTCCACATAGTCCATCACAATGAAGATCTTGTCCATGTTGGAGCCCACCACAATTTCACGGACGGTCACAATATTCGGATGCTGGCCCTTGAGCAGCGTGTTGATCTCCCTCAGGGAGGTGATGGGGAAGCCCTCCTTTTCCTTTTCCATTTTGAGGCGCTTGAGTGCGACTATCTCGTTGGTTCGCTTGTCCTTGGCGCGATAGACAACGCCGTAGGTGCCCTCCTCGATGCGATTGAGGCACTGGAACTCCTCCACCGAACGACATCCCTGGACGCCGGGATAGTAGTTCGGTAGCGGTATGCCCTTGTCGTCGCACGGCGTCTGTTCCTCCAGCGATCGCAGCGGCTGTTTGGCTGTGGCCGCCTTCTCTTCGCTCGTTTGGGGCTTCTCGTCCGCCGCTTGGGGCATGCCACGCTCCTCGCTGCGCGTGCTGGTGCTGGGGGAACGCTGATGTTTGTCATGAGTGCCATCTTCCTCGTCTTCGTCCATGCTGCTGTCGTGGGAATGACTCTTGGAGCGGGAACGACTGCTGCGGCTGGACTGGGAGCTATCGGAGCTGTTCTTGGAGCTCGCTGCCGAGCGCGAGCGTGACGACCTTTGGCCCTTGGGCGACTTGTACAGCTCGCCGACACTCAATGGGCTATCGGGCAAAGGAATCTCATCCTCGTCTTCTGCCGGCTTGCCCGATGATTTTCTTTTGCTCTTCTTCTTCGTCTCGTAACTTTCGTCGCTCTCATTGGATCCGGAATCGGTGTCGGTCTCCTCCGCACTGTCCTCGTCATCATCTTCCTCCTCGTTGGAATCGCTCTCCTCGCTGGCATCCTCTTCCTCATCCTCCTCGTCCCTGATGACCTGCACCTCCTCAACGCTGGGCTTTCTTCGCTTCTTGTACTTGATGTCCCGCTCGTCGCTCTCCAACGCCTTCTGCTTCCGCTTGACAATGTTGAGGCCAGCCGTAACGCTGGCGGCCACTGTCGCCGGACTGAGGGCATCGCTGTGCTCGTTTCGTTCGCGCAGCAGCTCTCGGCGTGCCTCCAGCTCGTCCCGAGCCGTTTGTTTCCGCTGGCGATTCTCCCGCTCCGCAGCAAGGAGCTTCTCCCTTCTGGCCAACAGCTCCGGATCCACTTCCACGGAAACCTTTCGCCGGCTGACATCCGGAGCGTCTTCCCTGAGTAGCGGCTTGACCGAGCTGCGGTGGGACTTGTGGTGCTGCGTCTGATGCTCCAGCTCTGGGCTGTCCAGCAGCTCGATTACACGCTCGTGCCGCTGCTTGTGGCTGCGCCCACGCTCGCGCTCCTTGCGACTCTCCCTGCGATGCTCATAGTTCTCCTCCGTCTCATAATCCTTGACGTAGTTGTGGCGCTTCTTCAGCAGACGCGAGCGCAAATCCTGCTCGAGACTCTCCGCATCCTTGCTCTCGGCATATTTGCTGGTTCTCCTGCTGGGCGGCTCCTCGAGGGGATAGTCGGGGGCATGCCGACTGCTGCCGTGGTAAGCGCCAGACGGATAGGAATGGTAATCCCCTCGAGCACCCACCCTGGGCCCACTCAAATGCATGGCCGCGTGATGCTGATGGTGGTGATGGGCATAGCCCTGTGCTGATGGCGGCGGTGGTGGAGGCAGGGGCGGCTGTGGGTAGTGATAGGCGGCATGGCTCAGGTGATGCTTGGGATAGCCTCCTCCCACTCCTGCCGCAACGGCTCCCCTCTCACTGTTGTTGGTGCGTGGATGATGGTGGTGATGGTAGTGCTCCTCCCTGGCCCTATACTCGTATCGATGCTCACGCTCTGCTCCTCCAGCATCTTCTCTTTCCTTGTGGCGCCTTCGCTCGCGGGAATGTTTCTTCTTTGATTCGCGCTTTGAGCCAGTGGCTTCCCTGTGGCTGGCCTGCGGCGGTTGTATGTACAGTGAATCGGCATCGGCATCGTGCTCCTCGTCCCCGCTAAAAGCAAGAGAGAAACAATTAACAATTATGACGCCATGCTAAGTGCTCTGCCCCCGATCTTCCGATGCGAAATGCGAGTTGCTGGACGACCCAGTGGCTGACATTGACGCTGGCGCTGCCTGTTGCTGCTACTGTTCTGTTGGGTGTTGCTGTTGCTGCTGCAGTCTATGATGCTGATGAGGATTACATTTTACACAGTGCCCTTGGGGGCTCCAAAGCTCACGGCGATGGCGAGGGCGATGGTGGTGATGGAGTGTCCACACGCTTCGCTCTGGAATTCTTTTGGAGATTAGAATCAAAAAACTTGTGTGCAGTACTTTTAAGCGGAATTCGTGCAACTCTAATTGAAGCAATCATCTCGGCGCTACTCGGCTTCTCCAGAATCATCTGGATGGAGGAGCACAGCACTCTGAGGAGCACCGAGTGCAATCAATCAACATGGGGTACTTACCTGAATTCCGCTCTCCCCCGGGCACAGGATCGGTACGGATAGAGACAGACTTGATGGCTTGATAGAAACTATTCCATGAAGCAATGACACTCCCAAGGGCTGTAAAATGTAAACCCGAGACTTACACACGGACTGCAGCTGCACGCAACCACCTGCTACTCTGATATTTGGGATGGATCTTTTATCTTTCTGCTCTGTTCTGTTCTGTGCTTTTCGGTTGACAAAAAGACAAAAAGATAGAGAGATGGGGAGAGAGAGAGAGAGAAGGAGAGACACGGAAAGATATTGAGACTTGGAGACTTGCGGGGACTTGGAAAGAGGAATTAGTTCAAAAGTTTCATCAATAGTTTCATTGTGTGGTTGATTGATTTGATTTGATTTACAATTACAATTTACCGCCAGCAGCACACGATACGAGATCCGGAGAGATAGATCTCTGTACAGAACACTGGTATGCATTTATTAGTCAGCGCAAGCGATTAGCGTTGGTTGCGGCTTGGGCATTGGCTTGAGAAGACTCGTATTCGCATTTCGGTTTCGCTCTCCACCTGCCCTGAAGAAGATGCTCGCTCGCTCTCTCTCTGCCGTTGCATTTTTACACTGGAGGACGGGTGCGCATTATTTTTTGAAATTCAAATTTCGTTTTTTCTTGTTTTCTTGCACGTTTTTTATGGTTTTTTTTTTGTTTTTAACTATTATATTTTGTTTTTTTTTTGCATTATTATTATTATTATTATTATTATTATTATTATTATTAGGTATTGTTGATGGCCATCGCGCGCCTCGGTCTTGGGACAAGTACACACTTTTTGGCCTATTTGCAATGAAAAAAGTCAAGTCAATTAAATGGTACAACAAATATAAGGATTCAGTAATTGTTATCATCAATAATTGGATTTTGGTTTCATTTCTTTGGTAGTTTATCTTTTTTGGTTAGCAAACAAGCGCGAAAGGAGGGTGATGGGGGGGGAGGTAGGGATTCTTTCTGTTTATGTGTGTATTCTTTTTACAATTTACAATTTCGCTTTTAGATTTTTGTAGAATTAGCATGTAGAAACAGATACAACAAAAAATGCTTGGTAAAAAATTGTTTCACCCGTCGCACACACACACACATACACACACACGCATATAGTATATAGAAGGATGGTCAGTGCTGCCAACTGTGGAATTCCATTGAAGAAAAACAGTTAAGTTGTACACATTTTGCTGGCACAAATGCCGCCAAGTTGCCAGCACCAGACACTGTATATGATGTACGCCTGGCTTTGTGAGCGCGTGTGTGTCTGTCTGTGTGTGTATGCAGCAACAATTTTTCATGAATCGCACTATTACTACGGGTAAAGGGATCCTAGCTATATACACACCTGTGATAGTGCCCATCGGTGGGGCTACGCAATTGGCCATCCTCGCTGCCAGATGAATTGACCATCTTGTGACCACAGTCCGCAAATTGTTCAATGAATATATTCACTGCTCTGCTGCCCTTCCAGTGAGAGAAGTAGCTGGCTGGCCTGGCCTGGCGGATTCACGTAATTTTTTAGCAGCTTTCGCAGCGTTTGCTTGGCAAAATGCGTGCTGAACTACAACTTAATCTCTTCGCTGACAGTATGTCGGCATTTATGTATATTTAACTTTGTTTTTCGGTGGAACTCTACTTTTTTGTTTTAGCAATGTCTGTGTCGTGTGGAAATGTGAAACTTCACGCTAAAGAAAAGATGGCGTCGCACGCTTGGCACTGCCAACTCGGCTCGTTTGTTTCGAACAGCTGTTGCGTCAGCTGCTATTTTCAACGTTCTTTCGGCCGCAAATTGTCAAATTTATTGAAAGAAAATATACTTTTAAAATGTTGCACGGCATGTCGCGACGTCTGGCGTCGCTGGTGGGGCGCCAAGGGCACCGCCTAGCCGCCACACTGCCCACCAAAGAGCCGCAGCCCAACGAGGAAGTAAGCCACACGGTCAGGAGGATTCGCGAGGAGCTTGCCACCGACAAGCAGAGGCTGAAGTGGCGCACACCGATCGGAGACAGGCCCGAGGATTGGAACAGCAAGCTCAAACTGTTCTCCAACTCCGAGCAGACGTCAGATTTTATAGTAATGATGCAGCGGCCCATTGACCTGTCGCCCACGAAAATAAAGGATTGGTGGGGGAATCGCCAGGAGAAGATCGAGCGCCACATGCAACAGTTCATACCGGAGCGGCACAAGATTCTGGGCGCAGAGCTGGCTGCAGCCCATTTCATACTATATCGCGGCGGTGCCGCCAAGTTCTTCAACGATCCCCGCTGGCATCGGGCCGGCGAGGATGGGGAATTTAGTTTGCCCAACAAATTCCATCCTGGGTACAAAGTGGAGGCCCTGCGGTGCGACAACATGACGCTCTACTACGAGGGATTGGATAACTTGCGCTGCCTCGACCAGCTCAAGTTTCTATCATTTCACAATGTGAAAACCTTTGATGACTGGTGCCTGGACCGGGTTTCAGGTGGCGAGTATCCACGTCTGGAAGTCCTGGACCTATCTGGCACTGAAGTAACCACTAATGGGCTCTCCTGCCTGTACCGTCTGCCCCAGCTGAAGCTTCTAATCGTAGATGATCCCAAGCAATCGGTGGAAATGGAATTGGCCGCGGCCATGCTCGAGGTGGCTCTGTCCCCTCTGAAAGTTGTTGGAGCAGATGCTATTCACAGCCATAGCTAAATTTGTTATTATATAATTACATTATATATAAAAAAATCAAAAGAAAAATGAGCGTTTATCAACTTTGTGAGGGTTTTGCTTTCAGATATTCCGCTTTGATGGCATCGCGTTCTTCAAGTGGCGGCAAATATGGAGCTATTCCCTTGCCTCGGCGGTCCGCACGTACCTTGTTCTAAAAGAAAATATCATTTAAGTAAATACGAATCATAGTTTATTTGATAAACATACCCAAAACTCTTTGCAATTGTTGTAATTTGCAAAATAAACCTCGCACTTGTCGCGGTCAAAGTTGTTTTTGTTGAGGCACTTGAACGACAATTCCTGCTCCTGTAAATGGGATATTGTTCAATAGAGGGATTGTATTTTGTTTGTTATAAACATACCTTTAGACAGGGATTATCGCGCTCTGCATTCAGATTACGCGGCATTTGTATTTATGGGAAAATATTCTAAATTATTCTTAAATACTTATGTAAAATGTCGTTTGTTTTCGTCTATCGTTTAGAAATGCCAACTTGTTGAAAATAACAGCTGTTTGGTTTGCCGTGCTGCCAACTTTCTTAGAACAGCTGTTCGGCAGTCGCTGAAGAAAAATGAGTTTTAACTTTGAAATCAAATTAAAACGCGAAAACAAAGTCTATTATGAAAATGTAAGTGAAATAAGTACTCCTTGCGCATACCCTCCAACCCTGCATCTCTCCCGCAGGACATGCTGCTGGGCTGCGTGCAGTTCCAGTGCGGCGCCGAGACAAAACACGAAGGAATCATTCTGTATTTGGAGGGAGTCGTTAATTTACAACTTAGCAGCAAAACAGTGGGTCTATTTGATGCCTTCTACAACTCGGTGAAGCCCATTAATCTGCTACAGAATAATCTCGAGCTATCTGCCCCGGGGAAGCTGAGCGCCGGTCGCTCCGAGTTCCATTTCGAGCTGCCCCTGGTCTGCCGCAAGGAACCCCGCATTCTGTACGAGACATATCACGGAGTATTTATCAACGTCAACTATCAGCTGCAGTGCACCGTCAAGCGGAACTTTCTGGGCAAATCCATGACGAAGATCCAACAGTTCTGTGTGCAATACAAGCCGACGGGCCTCAGCGAAAACTCACTGCGGGCGGTGCCCTTTAGCCTGAGTCCGGACTCGCTGCAGAAGAATGCCACGGCCAAAGAGCGCCTGTCCATGCCCCGGTTTCTCATCACGGGTCGTCTGGATCGCAGTGAATCGTGCGTAACGATGCCCATAACCGGCAGCATTATGGTGCAGCATACGGAGGCCGCCATCAAATCGATAGACATGCAACTGGTGCGGGTGGAGACGTGTGGCTGTGACGAGGGATACTCCAAGGACGCCACCGAGATCCAGACCATACAAATCGCCGATGGCAACGTTCTGCCCAAGCTGGAACTTCCCATTTATATGGTACTTCCGCGGCTGTTCACTTGCCCCACGCTACTCACAAAAAACTTCAAAATTGGTATGAAACGATGCCGCTATACTAGAAATTCCCATACTAATTAGTTTGATCTCTTCCAGAGTTTGAATTGAATCTGGTCGTTGTGTTTAAGGAAGACTATACAGTTAGTGAAAACTTTAAAATAGTTTTCAAGCGCTCTGCAGGCCCATTGCCCAGCAAAATGACTACCGCAGGACGTTAAGCAAATGCCCAATCGAATACGGCAGCTAATTATCTATAATCAATGAAAAGTCTAGTTTACAGGCAGCTTTTAAGAGTAGAGTTGAAATATATTTATAACAAAACTATATAATAATGAAATTTGAATTGCCCGCCAAAGTCATCAGCTGTTTCCGTGCCCACAGCTTGCCAGTGGGTCATTTTTAGTGCTTTGCCATTTTTTTGACTAGCCGTATTATTTTCTCGAAGTTTTATGTACCGTGAAGCGTTTGATAAGTGTAGTAAAATGAAATTGCTTTTAGTGGATTGATGCAGTGGAAAAACAGTGTGTGGCCTTGTGAATTATAGAAGTGGTGCGGTCAAAGGGTTCATTTTTTTTTGTTGGTGAGTACGAAACATAGACGCAAACGCACACATGTTTGCTTGCATGTGCGATTGTATGCTTAGTTGTTGTTGTAATTTATGAGCCGGCAAAAAGAGCCGCCATGAAAGGGCATGCCTCAGCGTGTTTGAAACTTGGGACACACATAAATTAAATGGAACTCTGCAAATAGAAGTAATAAATCAAAAAGGAAATTTGATGTTCGTGCAATTATGACAGGCTACATTGAATCATCTTCATTAAATTAAATATTGATTACAGCTTTATCACTGTTACTTTTGATTGTTCAATCGCTTCGATACGAATGAAGTGCGTTGGCTGGGGGAGTAATGAAAATTGATTTCCTCTTTGTAAGTTTGGTGTGCTCTTCTTTTTTGACCGCCTGTCCTTCTTCATCTCCATCTCCGTTATTTTCTTTCAATTTGGCCGCACACAGCTGCCAAAACAAAGACTCGCTCTCTCTCTCTTTTTCTTGGTGTTTCCCTCTGTACTTGTTCGATCTTCATCAGCACGCTCACACATGCACATACATACGTACCACCTCGGGCGATTCTCCCACGATTTAGAGTTTACCGTTAGCCAGCTGAATTTACTGTATTATTCTTAGCATACTCTTCGGCTGTGCCCTCTGACGACTCTTTCTGTGTCCCGCTCTCGCTCTCGCTCTCGCTCCGTCTTCCACTCTCAGCTTCCGTGTGACCGGTAAGTGCATATCAATTTCCTGCTCTCGCTTCCTTGCAATGCAAGGGGAAATTTTTTTTAAATCTTTAATAAGCTGATACTGTGCTGTGCTGCTGCTGCTGCTGTCATACACTACACCCACACACATGCAGTGCTTTTTATGTGTGTGTCGTGCATGTTTCTATATAAATTACTTAGCATAAAATTTCTTGGCTCCCTATCCTCCTCTCTGTCTTTCTCTCACAACTCACGCCATCTTTCTTTCTGTGTGTGTCTGTCTGTCTGTCTGTCTGCCTGCCTGTCTTTCCTTTCTCTGATGCCCTTGTTTGTATGGAGGGGGAGTGACACTTCAGCCATCTCCTTTACATTCGATATACAAATATATGCACAAACACACACATACACACGACATGTGTGTACATCCATATATCCTTTACGAAAAGGACGGGCGAAAGTTCTCGCGGAGGCAAGTTTCAAGTTCACTAAATTATGTACATACATATATGTACACACACAAATAAATATGTACATACATACGTACTTGAATGCCTGCATGTGTGCGTGTGTGTATAAACATATATTTACTCGACTCGACTCCTCTTTGGCGTCGGCCTCAAACTTTTTACCATAAAGAAAGTCACACAAGCACACACATGCCCATTCACTTGAATGTATTTATTTAAGTCAAATAAAAAGAATAAGACAGAGACAGCATGATATGGGGCCTGTTGAATCCGTCGTACACTCGGATGGTGGAGTGCGGGATAGTGGATATCCTATCCAATCCAATCCGTCCCTAAGCTGCAGTAAAAATACTCAAAGTGGAATATTTAAGATATTTTAAGGACATGGCGAGGGGGTATACAATTTAAATATTATACAACTACAGGACAAATCATCTGTGAAAAAACATTCCATTCACAGAAATAAGAATTAATTCCAATGAATTCTCATACATTATTCACTTCTCCTCTCCTCTCCCTCCTCTCCCCCCCACCCTCTCTCTCTCTCTCTCTCGCCATATTAAATTCCCCCGAATTTCTTTCAGTGCCAGCGAAAGCTGTTGCTCTCCCTCTTTCCTTATCTCTGTCTCTGCCTTTGTGTGTGTGTGTGTGAGTGTGGTAACTGAAATTGAGTTTAGGAGGCTAAGTCCACCTCATCTTCTACCCAATAAGAAACCACCCACGCACTCAGTCCCCACAGCCCACAGCCCACAGACAGCTGCCTTCAATTTGGTGCTTCTGTCGGTGCGGTGTTGTCGCCAAATGTAGCACTAACAAAAGTTTTCGACAGCCTTGTACTCCAGTACATGCTCGTATACGAGTATACTATGTATTTTGTGTTGTCTTTTTTGTTTTTTTTTGTCTCCTCAATGCGAAACATTTTACATTTTCCTTCTCGAAATAAGGCAAATGAATAGAGGGCGTCGTATTGGCTACAACTTTTCTCGAAGTAAATCCACAAAAACTCTGCACACCAACTGTTGCCAAAAACTTCTCTGTGTGTGACGACTTGTACGCATTTTCGATTACGATTACTTGCCTATTGTTATGGGCAGCACTGGTAATGGCTCTGGCAATGGCAGTGTCAATGCCAGAGCGAGCCTGTTGTTGTTTCCAGGACACATGGGATGCGGATGGGGTAACACTGCTGGGTGTCGTCGTCACGTCATGTAATTGATTTAAAATTAGCACATCGCTTTGAAAATTTAAACTGTTTACAAGTGCCTTGGGACACAGCTGCTGCTGCTGCTGTTGCTGCTGCTTCTGCTCCCAAAAATGTTCTTCTATCTGGCACTCGTATCGTGTTTGTTTCAGCGGGTGTTTGCGTTTGCGTTTGCTCTTCTGCGAGTGTGTGTTTATGCATGTTTAATGAACATGAATCCACCAGGCACCAGGCAGCAGGCACCAGGCAGCAGGCCACCAGACCAGAGGACTGTAATCGCATTTCAATATGCTGCAGCAGCATCACAGCACCACACCATTGAAAAAACGGGCTGAGGGGAGGGGAGTGGGTTTTTTGGGGGGGGAGAAAAAAAAAGTAACTCAAAGCCCAGAATCCAGACCATGGTCCCCGTTGCGCTTGTCTTTCATTTCGTTCCTTCGCGTTGCAGGCGGCAATTTAGTTTGTACGGGCAAACTTTTCATACCCGCTCTGACCCGTAAACGAGGTCAACGCAAAAAACATTTTGAAAAATTCATATGCAAACGTATTTTCAGTTGCCACTCGCATCGCACCATGCCAGCCCAGGTGGCAGTGGCAGGCAGCAGCCACCAGGCAGCAGGAGAATCAGTAGCAGTAACAACAGCAGCTCTACTCCAGTCGAGTAGGGAAATTCCCTGGCCTCTGGTCGTTTTTCCTCCTGCTGCTCTTCGGTTCAAGAGTTTTTGCCATAGAAGAAACAAACTTTTTAATGGCCACACACATTTTAATAGGTGTTCCACTCTCCCGTTCGGGGGCTCAAAGTCTTTGCCAGTGGGGTGTAAAGTGAAACGTTTCTGCTTTTTATTAGTTGGTAAACACACAAATATTGTATAATGAAAAACCAGTTGGTTTCCATTGTAAATTAAATGAAAATAAACGTGAATTTCAAAGTGAATTTATAGTAAAACTATTTTAAAGCTCTTTATTAACTGTTCCTCCCTCACGCAGTGCTACCCATCCTTCTCGATGATTCGCTGTTTCCGCTGTTTCCGCTGTGTCCGCCCGGTGCCATCCAAAGTTCATCTTTTGAATATTGAACGGAAATTGAGTGCCACATTAAACGTGGCACAGAAACCATCATCAGCTTGAGCACTTGATTGATTCGATATAGAATTACTTAACATTTTTTGTATAATTAATTGCTTTTGCAAAAGTATTGTGCAAACATATCGATTGCGCTCCACCTTTCGTTTTATTCTTCGTTTTTCCGCTGTTAATCACATCACAGGATGTGTGTTTGTGCGTGTGATGGAGTGATGTAGGAGTAAAGATAATTGATTTCCCTTTACGTTATTATCTTCCCATTTCCCCACACCCACACCCAGTGTACCCAGGGCCATGGCAACTGTACTTTTGACAGTTTCGCCCATTCCACTTAATCATTCCGGTTACCCAACGCACCATCCCCATCCCGATCCCCATCCCCCTCCCCATCCGCATCTCCATTTTCATGTTCTGTTCTCTTTGTAATTATGCGACTGTCAGTGCTGCCCATCGTGCACAAACCGTAATCGGAGTGTAATCAGCTCTGGGCTTCTTCTTGCATTTGCCTCTTTTTAATCCTTCCACTGGCTCCTAATTGCCCGGCACCCAAAAACCGAAAGCGGAAACTCTTCAGTTTAACACAAAGTGAAACATTTTCCGCTTTTCTTGTTCCGGTTTCTGCTTTTTTCGGGGATAAGCATTGACCGAACCGGACCGAACCGAACCGGTCCAGGGCGTTGGTAATTGTTACATGGGGATGAACCTACAGGAGGCTCTATGAGTAATTAGGGTCGGTGGGATTAGTACAGTCGCCTCCGCTTCGATAAATTTGTGCCTGGGCCAGGCCCTGGGGTCGCTCAAGGTGTTCTTCCTTTGGCTCCTGGAACTGGTACAGGGATAGGGTAAGGGTAAGGGACCCTCCCACATTATGCCATCTCGCGTCCGCTGACGCTGATGTATGTACGTGTTTCGGCTTTGCTTCCGTGATAATTTTCCAAACTTTTTGCACCAATTATGTGCACGGCAGCGCGATATTCTCTCGCTCACTCTCCAGTCCATCCTTTCCCTCTCTCTCTCTCTCTCTCTCTCTGTGTGTGTGTGTGTGTGTGTGTGTGTGGGAGTGTTGGCCTTTTGGTGCCTTGTAGTTTATGCTCATTACGTGAGAGCTGAACCCAGGCAGAAGCCTCACAAATTGTTCTTGTTCAAGAAATTGCCGCTGCCGCCGGCTGTACACGAGACGCTATACAGGGAAATCCACCTACACAAACGAGTAGTATATATGTGTGTGTATTTGTATCTATATATAGATTTCTTGCCTGGATGCAAAATCCTCGAATTTAATTTTCAGGTAAACTCCAGGGCTCCTTCTGCCTGGCCCTTGGCTGGGGCCCGGGGGCGTATGCGCGTTATTTAGTTTTCGTTATTTTGTGAGCAATTTAAATTTGTTGAATTATCCAGCGGCTATTACTCGACGAGAAGCCGTTTAAATGCCCCTCAAAACGATACAGAAACAATCAAAATTGTGTGCGGCAATTACTATTTGTTCTACTTTTCATTTTACAGGGGCAGGGCAGCCTTTTTAAAACTCATAAATCAAGGATTAAATCGACTTAAGAACATAAGTCTGGGAAAAACAATTCCAGATTGCCAGACCAAGTGGAAAACTGCCCACCGAATGGCTGTGGCAGTGGCAGTGGCCAAAAAGGTGAGTGGCAGAGCTTTTGCTTTTCCCCATTCAATAAATGCAACTTTAAAGGAGCCTTAAGTTCCTTGGAGATTCCCAAACTATTCCCACAAAATATTGGGACAAATATATGCCAGTTTCTGGCCAAGGAATGGGCTGGCCGGGGGGGAGTAGACGGCAAAAGTGCATAAACTCTCAGTTGGCGCAAAAGTTTCCATTGCATTTTCATTGGAAATACAAACTGAAGTGTGGGCTAAATGTCTTGTCGTGCTCCTGCTGCTACTTCTGGCGCCTCCTCCTGGTGCTTGTGCCTGTGCCGGGGATACATTTTGTTTGTTTACTTTGAAATTGTAAATGGATTAGCCGCACTCCGAGAGAGAGGAAGAGCGAGAGACGCCAAGCGCGCGCCAAGCCTGACAAATTGAATTTGTTAGACTCGAGAGAAGTTTTCGGGTGCTGAACTTTTGCCTGCATGGTTGGGCCATTGGACGTGGTTTCGAGCAAAGGATGGGATGAATGGAGCACACAACACACAGCACACATAAACCTCGAAACAAAACTTTGTCCTGACGGATCGGATAGTTTGAGAGCGAGCGAGAGACCGAGAGCATAGAGTGTTGGCAAAATAAATTGCCCTGCCGAAGGTGGTGGTCCAGAAGTAAAAGGGTTTAAACTCCTCCAACACACAACACATCGACTGTGCTGCTCCCTGCGACAGCTCTAGTCATCAATAAGGTAATGCTTTGAACAAAAATCACCCAGACAAATCGAAGAATTACCCCTGGAACTTCACAATAACTGCGAGTTTATAAATGATGTCAAGGACTACCATGTCTGATTTGGGTCTCTCGGCGGATTGATGGTTCCTCCAATCCAGCGTAAGTAGATTTACTCAATCAGCTCTGCGCCTCCAAGGGGGCTTTTCTCTCTACAAATAATATGCGGACATGGTCTGCATCTGGCATCGACATGGTCCCAAAAGGATGCCCAAAGACTCATCAAGGCACCTGGCCACTGCATGTGCTTCGCATTTCCATCAAATGTATAAGTGCTGCCCATCCTTTAACGTCTTGAGTGCTACCCATTGACAGCACAGATGATATGATAACGTTATCGCTTACCTCTCGACTCGTCTCTCAAGTGCTGTCCGACGTCAGTTGCTTTTGTTTTAAGTCTTGAGTGCAGCCCTTGCAGCAGGCCATGGCTTACCTTTAGGCCCGTTCCAGTGCTGCCCAATGTCCAAACCCTGAGCCCAGAAATCGATTTAGCCGCCTATCTGTTGCATGAATGGACTGGCTGCCCAGGAGATTGGGGGCTGAAGCTAAGGCTAATTGAATCTGCTTCGATGCGATGCAAATCCCAAGTGAATGGGCGCGCATTGCGATATGTAATCCAACGAAATGATGATTACAGCCATCCACGGGCCATTCATGGCACGAATAGCCGTTCGGGCCAGGCCAAGTTGTGTTTGAGCCGCGTTGCTTACCCTTTGGTTATTCCCCCGCGGTCTGCTCTCCCTCTCTGCTCTTCCTCTTCCTCTCTGCTGTGTGCTTTGGGACACTGTACGTCATTTACATTATTATGATGAGATGCAAATCTCGTTAAAGGACACTTCAGGACAGCCCCTGCCATCCGCCATTCGCCGTCTGTCCTGCCCTGCCCTGCCCTGCCCTGCTATATAGACTACACTTCAATATGTGTGCCATATGCCCCTCTCTATCTTGTCAGCCACACAATTCTCCTCTACCTCCGCCCTCCCCTCCCTGCTCTCTCTGTGTGTGTCTGTATGGGTGTTATTCTTATGCAAATTACATTTCCTGTGTTTGAGCTACAGCTTGTCGCTACATGTGTATGCTCGGAGCACAGACATGTCCTCCCCCCCCCCCCCCCCCCCCCCCCCCCGACACCCACTCAGATGTCCTGCCAACAGAAGGGGCAATATTTCTGTCGTATGGCTAAAAAATATTCTACAATTCTTTTGTAAAAGTCAACAACAGACGAAACGCTCATAAATGTTTTCGCTTGTGCTCTCGTGCTTTTCGCCCCATTCTGACTTTCAATTTCCCCACTCATTTGCATACTCTCGTATCTCTCTCTCTCTCTATTATATCCGTCCCTGTCTCTGGATCCTGTTATGACATATTTGTTGCTGGCTGGCTGCCTGCTGACTCTTTGCTTAGTATCTTATTTGCATTTGTAAACTTTACTGTGGTGGCATTTTGTTCATTTGTTCGCTTTGTTTTTGTTGTTGTTATTTTCCTACAGATTTTGCATTTTATATCCCAGCTTTTGTCCCCCTCCGCCCGCAATCAGAGGCTGCTGCCCGGGCACACATGCCACACGTTTTATTTTTATTTGAAACTCATTAGCTCTTAAGGGGGGCACTTTACCCATTTCCATTGCCATTTCCATTTCCATTTTATTCCTCTTCTTTTTTTATTATTTTTTTGTATTTTTTTGTGATATTTTATTTCGCTTATGTGGCACAAATCAAATGCAGCATCAGCACATTATTCACTGAAATGTGTGTGCAGCTGCTGGAGGTATGGGGAAACTTTTAGCGGGTTTGCTAATTGCACATTCAAACATTCATTTCAGGCAAACAAAAGTTTTCCCTGAACAAATAAATTATCCTTTTAGAAGGCTTCAAAGAATTCCAATTGATTGGCAAACGAAATGGAAAGAAAAGGCAACGAAGACTCACCTTTCGGTGCCCCGAATCCGACAACGAAATACTCACAAAAGTCGGAAGCGAATGGGGATCTCTCTCTCTCTCCTAGTGTGGCTTAGCAGTGAAGCTTAGAGTGTGCTCAATGAAAGCTTATCACTGCTGTAATTCCCTGAAAACATTCAAACACGTGCCTAATTCCATTTGAAGAGTACCACAATTCCGACCATTCCATGGCCATAACTATCCTCCTATCCTCCATTTTATGCTCTCTCTCTCCTCTCTCCCTTGCTCTCTATTCGAAAGCACTTTCACCGGGGCACTTTTACTCCTACTCTTTTTTGTGGTTCTGGTTCTGGTTCTGGTCCTGGTCCTGGTTAATGGCTACCCAGGCAGCACGTCTGACAATTGGAAAATTGGAAGTTAAAACCATTAAATAAATGAGTGTCACACAAGCGAAAGAGACCGAGAGACAGGGAGAGTGAGAGAGAGGAATGGGGTAAAACACAATCACATTTCAGTTGCTGAGCATCAGCTCTGAAACTGAATGCTATTTCGGGTATTTTTATCTCTTTCGATTTACCGAGTCACCCGATAGCAGTCATTCCATCCCGTCCCGTGCCGTCCCGCTCCTCTCTAGCATCGAGGGGTTAACCACTTTGATTTGCTCTCGATGGAAACAGGCAAAACACCCAGCAGATACGAGTATACGTACAAAGCGATATACAGTCGTAGCAGAGGGATAAACCGACCGACTGACGAACAGACAGGAAGCCCTGTTTGAAAGTCAACAGTTTTAACCTAATCACAGTGGATTTTATTGCCGCCCCTCACACACAAATCGATATGAAACGGAAGGGAAGTTGGGAGAGGAAGGGTCCATTAGGGGAAGGGTCCTTGCCAGCCATTTGTGGGCGGACCGCACGGATATACGCTACCGAAAAAGGAATCATTAGGGTCGCCCTCTCCTGCCTGTCCTGCCTGTTGGCTGCCATTTGCCATTGCTGCATGAGAGTTTTCGGGTGCGTTAAGTGCCCCCCAGAAGAACCTTTTTCTGAGGGTTTTAGTTGGGTTACACTGAGAGAAAAAGCAAGCTAGGTTCTTCAATTTTCAAATGCTCAAAGCATTAAATGGTATCTGGATAAAGGATTAAGAAAGTTCTCTATAAAAACCATTATATAGAGACTCTTTAGGGAGACTCTTTTCCAATACTGAAACGGAAATCAATGGCAATACTCTCTCCCAGTGTGACTCGGCAGTGCACTCCACTTCTGTGGAGGTTTTCTTTCAGTGCAGCTGCGGATTGCGATGCGTATTGGTCTAACCGACATGGCGCCCTGTTTAGAATGGGAGAAGGGTACGGACGGGTGACGTGACGAAGTTGAGCTGAGCCCTAAATGTTATTTATCTCTAGATTAAATGGATTTGTGTGCAAAATTGTCTATTTAACTTGGGGAGCAGCCTCAGCAGAAGGAGCGGCCCCGTCGCCAGTGGCAGCATCATCAGCAACAGTGGCAGCACTTTCGGCTAGCTCTCAGCAAAGTGGCAGCTACTTCATTGTTTGAACTTTTCACTGAATACGTGGGCGTTTGATTGAGTTTCAACAAGGGTCTCTTCCAGTGTCTCCCACTGCCTTCGGGTGCGGTGCGGTGCCCAGCCCTGAAACGGATGCTGCTGCCACTGCCACTGCCATTGCCACTGCCTGTCGTTTCAGTTTCTATTGTCAATTAGAGCTGACAAGTGGCTGTCTATGGGCGAAAGTGTTCATCTTTGTTTCCTTTAACTGGTTTGGATGTCACACTACCATACGGCCTTCGGTTGACAGCCTGCAAGTGTACGAGTGTACGAGTGTACATATTCGATTGGTTAACGTCATCCAGGCATCTGTTTTGTATGGTAGCCACTTGATATTCGTTCCTCCCTTCCTTTCCTTTCCTTTCCCTTGGCTATTTCTATACAATTCTTTTTTCCATTGAATGGGGAATATTTCAGCTTTCAGTGAATCCATTGGCAGCACTCTGTCAGTTTGTAATGCCACACTGGGCAGCACTTTGACAGCATAGAGCATAGAGCGGAAATATTTCCAGCAGAAAGTCGCAAATTTACAATTTACAACACTTTGACAATTTGTTAACATTTTGCCAGTACTCGTATGTGTACTTTTTCTGCTTGAGTTCATTCCCCTCTCTGTCGCCCGTTGAGCGGTGGCTGGCGTGCTAAGGAACATGTCAACGGATGTCTTGCAAATCGGGTAGGAGACAGCACAGCTCGCAGACAAAGAGTTCATAAATGCGATAAATATTTCAACACTTTCATCAGCATCTTCCGGAATAAGCACACACATGTCTCATGG